AGCTACTACTACTACTACTACTGCTACTACTGCTATTACGACTACTAGTAGTAGTACTACTACTACTATCCATGTCCATCTACTGGCTATACTATCGTGATATGGCTGGGCCCGGAGTGCAATGGTGGCATTCCGTATTGTGCGATCTACTCTGCCAAAAAGGCTTGATGTGCATAAAAGATTACAAAAGTGACATTCGCACTCGGTGAAAAACCGCGACCCGGTAAATCTGGTGGTCGCGAATACTATTTAGTATTCCGTGCAATTGACTTTCCTTTTGATCTGGGGGTCAGTACTTGGTTTGTGGCTGCAACGAGGAAGCAGAAGAAGAAGAAGAACAAGAAGAACAACAACAAGAGTTTTACATTGCAACACAAGAAAAAATAAAAACTACTACTACTACTACTGCGACGACGACGACGACTACTACTACTACTACTGCTACTGCTACTGCTACTGCTACTGCTACTACTACTACTACTAGTACTAGTACTAGTACTAGTACTAGTACTACTACTACTACTACTACTACTACTACTAGTACTACTACTACTACTACTACTACGACTACGACTACGACTACGACTACGACTACTACTACTCCTACTACTACTACTACTACTAGTACTAGTACTAGTACTAGTACTAGTACTACTACTACTACTACTACTACTACTAGTACTACTACTACTACTACGACTACGACTACGACTACGACTACTACTACTCCTACTACTACTACTACTAGTACTAGTACTACTACTACTAGTACTACTACTACTACTACTACTACTACTAGTACTACTAGTACTACTAGTACTACTACTACTACTACTACTACTACTACTAGTACTACTACTACTACTACTACTAGTACTAGTACTAGTACTACTGCTACTACTACTACTACTACTAGTACTACTACTAGTACTACTACTAGTACTACTACTAGTACTACTACTAGTACTACTACTAGTACTACTACTAGTACTACTACTAGTACTACTACTAGTACTACTACTACTACTACTACTAGTACTACTAGTACTGCTAGTACTGCTACTACTACTGCTACTGCTACTGCTACTGCTACTGCTACTGCTACTGCTACTGCTACTACTACTACTACTACTACGACTACGACTACCACTACGACTACTACTACTACTGCTACTCCTATTACTACTACTACTACTACTACTACTACTACTAGTACTAGTACTACTACTATCCATGTCCATCTACTGGCTATACTATCGTGATATGGCTGGGCCCGGAGTGCAATGGTGGCATTGCGCATTGTGCGATCTACTCTGCCAAAAAGGCTTGATGTGACCGCCGTAGGAGAAGAAGAAGAACAAGAAGAACAACAACAAGAGTTTTTCATTGCAACACGAGAAAAACACAAAACAAGAGTTGCACTGTGCTGCGCCCTCCCCCCGCGCCCCCTACCCGCCGTATTTTTGTTAAAGCCGCTCTCAATTGTAACATCAGCCCCCGCGCCCCGCCCATCGCCGGTTTGCATGACAACAACGAGAACAAGAACAAGAACAAGAACAAGAACAAGAACAACAACAAGAAGAAGAACAACAACAACAAGAAGAAGAAGAAGACAAAACAAGAAGAGCAGAAGAATAAGAACAAGAACAAGAGTTTTACATTGCAACACGAGAGAAACCAAAAACAAGAGTCGCACAGTTCCGCTCTGCGGGGGAGGCGGTGCGCCCCCCCCGCGCCCCCCACCCGCCGGATTTTTGTTAGAGCCGCTCTCACCTTGCGAGCTCATTGCACAGCAGAGCACCACCAACACCACAACTACCCTGAAGCAGCACGTCGTCGTCGTCGTCGCCGCCCGTCGCGGGCCGCCTCGACTCCTCCTCCTCCTCCTCCTTCCTCTCACCGGCCACTGTCGCAAAAAACACCGACCACTGGCGCAAAAAACACCATTATTGGGGCACCGTCGCAAAAAACACCGGCTACCGTCGCAAAAAACACCGATCAACATAACCGTCTGGAAATACACCGGTTACCGTCGCAAAAAACACCAGTCCCGACTTTTGGAGCTCTGCAAACCCATGAGCCACAGGGAATGCCTAAACACTTTTCCCTCCAAGGCGTGCACACTTAGGGCTGCATTGCAGGACACCACCTGAGACCATATGAAAGTCTGTGGAAAGAGCGGGAAGAACTTCAACAAAATTAACATCATGCTATATTCATGCTATATTCATCAGATGTCATCAGTCACAGTCACATTGCCTCCAGAAGCCGCCGACGATGCATTTCTTGCAGCATCTGAAGTGCATGGTTCCATTGCCTCGGATTCAGCAGCTCCACGGACTCCACGGATGCCGAGGAGAAAATCTGTGTTGAGCGCCGCTGAGCGCACTGGGATCAAAGCCATCCCTTCTCACAGGCACTGGTAGCTGCTGAGAAGCCAATGGCATCGATGCGAAGTTTTGCAGCCTGATGAGTAAAGTCAGTAAAGTCAGTAAAGTCAGTATCTTGTTACAAACGTACGATGTAAGATTTGACTCAATGCCTCCGCTGGTCTTCGGTTTCCGTCATCTCTTGGCTGCCAAACCCAAGCACAAGGGACCTTGCAAAAAAACACTGTTCCAAGGTCACAGGATGCCTCTCCGTCCCTGAGCAGCTGCTCAGCATGTTGCCAGCGGCGGCCTAAAGTAAAAGCTGCAGTACCCAGGGGATCACAAGGGACAAGTCCGACAAGTCCGTAAAAAACATAGGGATTTCTGTATGGCTACAAAAACATTGCAACATATTGCAACATATTGCAACATATTGCAACATATTGCAACATCTACCACAGAAATTCTCATCATGGCTACTGCAGTGCACAGCTCAAGAGGATCAGGTGTTTCTCCAGCCTTTCTCGCAGGCACTTGTGGCAGCATTCAAAGTGACCGTTCCTGGCCTGCATCAAGGGTTCTCCACACGAAAGAAAACCATGAGAAATTCAGTTTTTTTCCGAAGCTTGAACCATCGGCTTGCTGCGAGCTGCACTGGTTTGTGGTTGGACTTTCGATGTGTTTCTTTTGATTGCTGTGGTTGGTTGCTGTTTTTTGCTAATGTTGCTGTTTCTGTGCCATTTCCAGTTCCTACTCCTGTTGTTGATGATGAGCATGTTGAGGATGTTGTTGTTGGATGTTGTCCTTGTCTTCGTTGCTGCTGGTGCTGCTTTGGCTTTATTGTTTCTGAGACAGCCCTGGTCATGGGGGGAATCAATGCGGCAAACAGGATATGAAAAGAGCTGAGGAAAATGGGGGTTGGGAACGGTTGGGGGAAGCTCGTCAATGAGTGGAAGTTGACTGTTTCTATTCATCGAAAATCTTGCTACGGCAAGAGCTGCTGAAGCTTCTCTGAGAGGACGATGAATAGAGATAAATAGTGACGAATAGTGTGTGTTAAGACATGCCTGAGGTCTCCACCGAAGTTTCATCTTCCTTGCTTCTGCCAACAAATCAATGGCGCGCTGCCACTGCTGACCCTAGGCAAAGGCAACTTTTCTTGTCAGGGGGTGCGGTTTCTACCATGCATCTCTTCCACAGGGCAACATGCATCTCTTGTCAGTGCTTTGATTTGGGGACTTCACTTTTCCACAAGCACTGATCACCGAGTTGTAGGTCACCACATTGGGAGATGGGCCTCTCCTTTTCAGAACAAATTGACAAACCCCAAGAAACTTTTATTTGGCACATGTTGGCACTTTATTTTCAAACAAACACACAACCCTACTTGCATTCCAGAGTGTTTAGGTTCATTTCATTTAGGCATGCGTGAAACCAGAACTCGTCTGTCATTGGGCATCTTCAAGGAAATTACGCTTTTGCTCTTTTTCGATTAGTGTGCACCACGATGACCGAAATCAAAGGCTAAATAATTCCGGCATGGTCGAAGGAATGCTGACTACTGTATATAGCTTGTACGGCCCCGTCATGAAGCTGTCTTTACACTTTTTACACTTTTTACACTTTCATCATCTCTCTTCTCCTGCGCATTTTGTCCAGCAAGGCTACTGCAAACTGCCAGCGTCCATCCGCCTGGCACGAGGCTGGGAGTGCTTCAAGTGCCCTGTACGGGTACCCGCACAGACATCGTAAACACACAAGCAGCACAAGCGGCACAAACGGCCGTCGCCTCAAGAACGGCAATGGCAGCACTGCAAGCAATCACATTGCCTAGGAACATCGGTCTGATGTCAGAAGCATATCCAAGGCCGGTTTGAAAGGCGAGGAGAATCGAATCAACGTGTCTCTCGCAATGAAAATATGTGAGAGAGGCTGGGACTGGGTGGGACTTTGCTTTCAATTTCAACTGATCTGATTCCCCCAGACCCGAGCCGATGCCTGGGCAGTTCTGCAACAGGTCCAAAGCCAACTGCCATTGTTTCTGGCTGCGACAAGCACCTCATTCGTACTGCGATGGGAACCACAGAGAGACACACTTTATCATCGAGAGAGTTGATCATTTGAATTGGATGCAAAATGCACAAAAGTATACAAAAGTCCTTGCGAAGTAATTCCTCTTAGAATTCCATCCACTCAAAAGTGACACCCTCAAGCTCAGACTGATGGCTCCAACATACCTGGCTGAGTTACAAAGATCCAAAATGACTGCTGGGAATTCATTTGATGTGCCGAAAGCTCCGACATATCTTATCGAACCGACACATCCGACAGTGCCAAAACAACTGGAGCACGAAATATCGTCAGCTTCCATGTGGCTGAGGACCGCTAGGGCTTCCTGTACAGCTGGTGCTCAAAAAACTGCTGGAAGTCTGAAGATATTGCAGAAACACATGTGACAAACATGCAACAAAAAAGGTCAGGATGTTCCAACCTGCCAAAGATTCCCAGCAGAGCAAGCGGAAATTGCAGCATTGCTGGTCACCTGGCAGCAACAAGTTGATTGATACCGGAAGCATCCAAGAGCTGAAGAACTGCCTTGTGTTTTGACGGCTTCAAAAGCATCAACCCGTCAGTTTGACAATGTTGGGCTGCATCTCAGCTTGTCGAAAAAGCCTGAGTGACAGAAGGGCAGCTAAATTCATGCAGAATAAACGACAAGAATCTGGTAACCCTGCTGACCAATCCTGGCTGATTCTAGCTTAAACTTTCCCTTGGGTGGGTTGTGACTGGTGGCAAATTCTGGCAAATACAACGGCAGAATAAGGCAAGTGCTGAATGGCCAGTCTCCAGGCGGATCCACTGGTACAAGCACTCATGGCTGAACCTCAGTCTGTCACTTGAAGCTCAGCTTGAGGCACTCGCAGTGCCTGGAGGTCCTCTTTCCTCCTCTTTCCTCTTGGCTTCAAATTGTTGAAATATGTTGAAACAGGATGCTGAAATCTTGTCGGATTTCCTTCATCAGGGTCTTGAAAACGCCGTTTCAAATCCTTCTGCAGGTTCTTTGAAGTTCGTTGTGCTTTCCTTTTCAGCGATTGCTCAAACCCTGCCAAGCCTTGTACTGAGCGTTATGAGGTCAGGCTCCAGGGACAAGTCCTCACGGGTCTAGTGAAGAGATTGAAGCAGAAGGCATTTCGTAGATCCACCATGGTCCACCAAACTGATCCAAATTGAAGAGGTCCACCGTAGAGGTTCTAAGACTCTAAGGTCATGGCCCGAAGGGATTTTAAAGATGATTAAAATATGTTGAAGATGTTTATTCAATTTTATTCATTCGCTTGTTTCAACAACAAAGTCACCTATAAATTCACTCGCACTATCGCCGGGACCTTCATCATAGCGTAGTAAGCCAGAGCCTCCTCCCAGGCTAGGGCCTTAGCTTTTCTGCTAGACTTGGAACCAAACCCTTCAGTGGGAAAACTATGGAAAATTCACCAGAAACGAATTTCCGAATCCACTCGACTCTAGTGTTTCCCAGAATGTCAGAGTGCTTCAGCATTTCAACCTGAGTCTGCAGAAGTGGCTTTCGTCCGTCCGCAGCATGCTGTTCAAAAATCCAATTTTGCCGATACTCACTACCACACCACATAAGCCCAAAGCACTGACTGCTATGATTGCTGCATTCAAGACCTTAGTTGGGGCTCTACATTGCGAGCGCATTCACAGGACACATCTTTAAAGATAGAACGCCAGCAAGAGCATGATGCCCAAGTAGCCACAACTCAATGAACCACACAGCAATATGCGCAATATGCATGGGGCAATTTGCATTCAATCTTGTCGTTCGCCTTCTGGAACAATGTCTATATTTGGGACGATTTGAAACCAATAATGCAAGAGTGCCAGGATCGCATGCACACAGGATTACACGTTCTATTTCGACAGTACTAAATCAAACACACAAGTACAGGTCTCATCAAGTGTCTAACTCACTCACTCTCTCACTCTCTCACTCTCTCACTCTCTCACTCTCTCACTCTCTCACTCTCTCACTCTCTCTCTCTCTCTCTTTCTTTTTCTCTCTCTCTCTCTCTCTCTCTCTTTCTCTTTCTCTTTCTCTTTCTCTTTCTCTTTCTCTCTCTCTCTCTCTCTCCCTCCCCCTCTCCCTCCTTCCTCCTTCCTCCTTCCTCCTTCCTCCTTCCTCCTTCCTCCTTCCTCCTTTGCGAAAACCAGACCCCTGACTTACAAACACATCAGAGAAACCACGAGCTGGACTTGAGACGCACACCACTGTGTTTGGCATCACATGCCTCAGATTCAAAACAAAACAACTTGAATCTATATACTCTTCAGAAGTTACAGTAATTGCCAACACAAATGGTTTTGTAACATTGATTAAGAGCAACGGAAGTTGAGCATTTCAAGCGATGAACCGAAGTTGGCATAAAACATGGTTAAACAATACAAACCTCTCAAGCACGTCAGCTATCTGGTCAAACCGTGGAATCATGACCTAACTTTGCAATGCCACTTGAGCTTGATACTTCGAGAACATGTCAGTCATGATTGTGCTGCAAAGTTCAACCTCAATCGCTTGGTTTGCTCGCGTTTGTGCTTGCAAATAGGTGCACTGTTGCTGGTACCCTGTACGAGTACCTGTGAGTAAGCTGTACTGTTCTTTTATTAGCTTTAGAGCGAACTAGTTTGGAATTGCTAGTGGGCTATCAACTGGTGATTGCAAAGAAATGCAAAAATGTAGTATGAGCACAACGCACCGGCGCTGCTATCAAACAAAGTCAGAAGTTTGGAAGGTCAAACTTTTGCGTATTTAATGGATCACAAAAAGTCTGTGCAGTCTGTGCAGCTTCAAGCTAGAAAGCTTGAATCAAATTTATACGAAAATGGAAAACTTGGACCAGCGTTGCACGTAGGGTGCAACATGGTGCAACGAGTTGAACAATGCCTGGCCTTGGACTGCGATGGACTTTGAACTTTTTCCATACACGCACTTGGGGCCACTTGAGTACTTGAGCTTGCTGCTGCTGTGTCTTGCCCTCGAACTGCGTTGAATGCGGAGGCATAGCTGTAGACATCAAGTCTGGCCAGATTCAAATGAAGCAAGGCTGTGCTGGGTTTTGGGATTCTAATATTATATATATATATTCATTATATTCTCATCATGTTTACACCTGATTCAATGCCATCTATTTCAGAATCAAAGTCACGCATTTGGGGAGCACTGACTCTACGCACAAATATGGAACTTCGACAATGAGGAAGCCACATTCAAAGAACATGAAACAGCCTCAAGTTCCGAAGCAGCATCTCTTGCCTCAGAAAGGGCTTTGTGTCTCAGCAAAATTGAGGACTTCAAAAGGGCCAAAGGCGATCTATCCGTTCTAAGTGAAAGAACCTGAGGAAGGCCAGAGGGATAATCCAGGAGTCAAGGATATAGTCAAGGATAGTGATACTGGTAGAGTCATGTTGAAATGAGGCGTTTTTCCATCCAATGGCTGACTAGGGCACGAAGAAATCTGCCAAGGGACTGAAGCGACAGCGCGAGCTGCCAAAGCCTCTCCCGTGCAGCCGAAGCAACCTGCAAGCTGTGTTGGTTTCCAAGCGTTCGAGACACGGCACAGGATGGGCATTATCTGGCATTGGTGAAAGGAAAGTGCAGGTTGTTCAGCAAACTTTTATCAATCGAAGCTAGAGACAGAAGATTGGAGAGAGAACATAACATCTCAATGAGAAAAGGTACAACAAGTTGAGCTAAGTTGAGCATGGTTGCCAATTTGCTGCAAAAGTCTCCAAATGTTCAAACGTATGTTTCACTGTGGAAAACCAACAAAGTGCTTGAACAATCTGAGCTCTGTGCCATAGAATTGAATGCAAATGAACCCAGCTGCAATGATGCACTGCCTTGCATGACAACCACGGGACAGGGGCTGTAATTTCAAGGCAAAAGAGCGAAAGATGGACTAGCCCCCTGCTCTGCTGATGTACAATACTCCATTAGGCTGATTTGTTGCACGAGAAGCAGAGAAGCGCATGGAAGACAAGAAATACGCGTTAAAACCAGGAAAAGGAAACACAATGAAACACCAAAGTGGCTCGTCGCCTGCTCCAGACAGGATCTCTGATGCATGTTGCCACTGGTAGGAACCTGAAGAGTCAGCCACCACTATCCAACCAGTTCTCCGATACTCCGAAGCTTTTCCAGAGTCCACTCCAAGCAAGCTGGAATACCATGGACGCTGCTTGGGTATGTGCAGATATGTGCAGATATGTGCAGATGCTCTCAATATGGGAAACATTGGGAAACCCACTCTTGAGATATCTTGGAGTAACAGGAACGTTGGCCGGCAGGTCTTGGCGCCAAGGACTCGCTGCGCCTTGCCTTCGGATTTCGCTCTTTGCATTGGCCAAGAAAGTTGCTTAGTTCAGACCTCCATAGGGCTAAAGCGGCTAAGGCAATCTGAGAGGCAAGGAAGCATAGTGAAGATCCCGAATCCACAGAGCTGTTTTCATGTTGCAAGCTCTCTGCCTTTTTGTCCAGGACCATAGCTTTCAAAAAAAGCTAAACAATTGGCTTCTAACAAGCCAAGACGGTCAACCGGTACGCCGGTTCGCATTCGAAGTGGACGAAGTGGGAACATAAAATCCATATCAGTTACTGAAGATTAGAATTTGGAAGTCTTGTGGAATCTGAGTATATACGACATGAACACCCCAGACTGATTGCATTTCCCACTGCGACAAGGATCCAGCCATCCAACGTCAAATCATTGAACAAAGAATGGAGTGACCGGTGAGTCCGAAGCCAAATAAGCATCAAATGCAGTGCGAAGGAAGGAGAGCTGGTGCAACAGAAAAGCAAAACTAACTTGAAGAGTTCCACAGGAGGCAAGATCTTGCAAGCAACTATTGCTTTGCAAACGGTTCATTGCAAGTTGCAAGCAATGCATTCAGAGGTGGTGAGGTGGTCATTGCCGATCAGACGCTTTGCCTAGTTGGTCTACTTTCTGCTGGATCTTGTCTTTGCCCCAACAGCACTTTTGGACCGATTCGACCACACAAGTGATTGTATCGATCACAAAAACTGCCCACAGGAACGCCTTGGCAATCATTCCAACAACCACGAAGCTGAAATCAACTGATACTGAGAAGGAAAAGTCCAAATAAAACATTGTCATTGAGTAGTAGCCATGAACGACGATGGCAAGGATTGGAATTGCCATGAGGAGAGAAGTCATCAGCATGCAATGGGCCAGTGGACCACCCTTCTGCTCCCTGCAAAGGGTCCAAATTGGAAGGCAGCAGAGGCATGGAGTCACAAAGAAGAGAGTGTAGACTTGGGCTGTTGCATAGTCTGGTGGTGTCCTCACTAGTACGAGCTTATCTGCGGGCTCTGGAAGTGTCCTGACTGATCCCATGGGAAAAACCAGATAACCTGCCAGCAGTGTCAACAGGAGCATGTTCCAGAGTTGTTTCAACCCAGAAGTGAAGCTGTCCAAGCCCTTGTCTTTCTGGTAGACACTGTTCACAACTCGCACCACAGCCACACCAACAAAGAACATAGCATAGCCGACGGCAACAAAGAATTGGGCATAATACTCCAGGGTGAAATGATCACTGAAGCTGGTGCTCTCTGATTTCGATGATGCTGTTGCAAAGTCCAAAAGGATATGCTCAGAAGTAAGTCTACAGAATGTTTGATTGCCGATGCTTACCTCAAGTCTTCCCAACTCGTAGGTGAAACCATACTCTTCACCTGTGAAAAAGAAGCATGTTTCGTCTGAGATCCATCCACTTGTCGACCTTCTCAGGACTTTCATGGAACTGGAAGTAACCAGCACAAGAAATCTAGTCGCGAGAACAGCGCCGACAATGCAAAGCTGGAGCATGCATGAAAAGAGCTTGCACACATGAACGAACTTTGCCTCCGTCATGTCGAGCTTGAACCATGCGTTTAGCGTCTGTTTCAATGCCATTCTCTTCGGCCAGTCTGGAAGTCAGGTTTTTGCTGTTTGCATGCTTGAGCCCATGCAATCTGCACATACACAGCAATGTTCCTTCTGGATGTGACTCGCTTGTCAAAGTGGCAATTGCTTCTTGACCATCATGAGATATAATCCCTTCCCCTAATACTAAACGTCCCCCCAAAAAATAATAAAACCTACGGGTAGTTTTTATTATTAGGTGTATTGAATATTCGGGGGAGAAGTATATTAACTTTAAAACCTTAATTACAAAACTAAAATGTTCGATTTCAAAATCGATCAAATTCATCTTTAAAATCTAATTAGAACAGTGCCAAAAAATGGATTTCGAAGCTTTCCCCTAATATTAAAATACACCTTAATCAAAAAAGACTAAAATTGTCGATTTCAAAATCGATCAAATTCCTGTTGACATCTAACTAACATATTGCCAAAAATTGGATTTCGAAGCTTTCCCTTAATTTCAAATTTAAGACCTTAATTTAGAACCAACATTTTCGATGTCAAAAAAAGTCCCTAATAAAAAACACCCTGGGGTGAACTAGTTTTTATCATTAGGGGGTAGAACATGGTAGAACCTGCAAATTGGACCTTGGTTTTTAAATTGTTTTCTAAAGGGGATCAATTAAAGCTCAAATTGATAAGTCTGAAACTTCCCAAAACAAAAAAATGGGCTAGTTTTTATTATTTAGGGGAGGTTTGTTACTAGGGAGAAGGGATTATACAATGAGGCTATATGAGGCTGTGAACTGCAGCATCTTTCAGCTACTACGTTGGCCAAGAGCCCTGCACCATGTCAGGGCAAGAACCAAAACACGGATCTGGCCTTTCAGCCTCACAAAATCATGAATATTCCCGGTGTATCGGATACACTGTATCGTTTGCCTGCCTTCCAGACTTCACATGAACTCACGGCAAAGTGATGGAAGTTGCTTTTGACCTGGCGGGTGTGAGTTTGCCGCTTGCATCGCCTAGTAAAGCATGATCAAAAATACGACCGGCAATTGCCTCATGTCTTGGTGATATTTTTGAAGATGTCTTGAAGCCCATTCCAACCGGCGCACATTTAACAAAGTTGCACCAGTCAACATCAGCAGAATGCTTTTAACATATTCTAAAAGGAGGAGCTTGAGCTGGCGCTTCAGCCACTCATCCTGCGAGGATCAGTTGCGTGGCTGGGCATCTGCATGATGTACAGCAGTTCTAACAGAAGACGCTTCCTTGCACTCTATCGCGCTCCATAGAGATTTCAATGGTGTCCGGCAATTGAATCAGGCCGTTTCACTTCACATTGCCTCGCTTCAACACCGTCGTACTAGTCGTACCATGTCGTACCTATTCATTCTTCACCACCATTTTTCGTATCGTAGTGCTTGTCCAAGGCCATCTCTCTCCAAGTCTCCCACGAGCTGATCTGTCATCGCCGGTGGGCCGCAGAGGTAGACCAAAAGACCATTTCTGTTGGTTGGCAGCTGAGGCCGCAAGTGCTCCATGTTGAGGCGACCACAGGCACCATTCCACCCGTCGCCTGCGTCACGTGTGACCCGCAGTTCCACACGCAATTTCTCACTCCAAACATCAGCAAGGCCTTGCAGTTCAGACCTGTAAGCCAACTCGCTTGGCTTGGAAGCAGAGTAGAACAGCGACACCCGATCCAAGCATGGAAGTTTCTGCCGATAAAAGTAGGCCTCTTTTAGCATGGAGAAAATAGGATTGATACCAATTCCACCTGCAATCAACACCAAATGTTTCAGAGTCCCATGTTCTTCAGCGTCAAAGTAGAAGCTGCCTCCGGCAGCCAGCTTCACTCGCTTTCCTGGTTTGGCTAAGGTGTGACACCACTGTGCAGGTGGATGCTTCGAAGACTTCACAGCAAGTCGCAACTGAGGGAGATCAGAGGGGATGGACGACATGGAATACCCTCCAACTTTACTGACCCCATCCTGGTCAATGAAAAAGTCCACCCAATTCCCTGCTTTGAAGCTGAAGGCATTCGAAGCATTCGAGGCATTGACGGCATTGAAGCTGCCCTCCACACACAGTCGTAGCTCTTTGATGCTGGGGGTCAGATCCTTCACCTCCACAATTTCTGCAGACACGAGGCCTTCGACGCCTTCCCTCGCTCCATGAAGGTGACGCCATCCCTGAACCCTGATCCCCTGCAAGCGGCTTGAAAGCCGGAGCATCCTTGGACCATTGGCTTTGGGGAACACCAACTCTCGCAACTGTAATTTAATATTCTCCACAAATCAAAATGTTGTTGCTGGCTTCAAGTTTTGCATATCAATCCTGAAGGCAATACACAAAAGACTATCCCGCTTGTCTCGGCAGTTGTCATGTGTTACACCTACTGGAATGAATTGCCATTATATTTGCCTTGTTGAACTTGTTGTCCTGACGTCGTGATGCGAATGAAGCTGCATTTTCAGTTTGGGATCTCAATTGGCTGCATTCAGGGTGAGCATTCATTTGACGGGCTCGAATTGAGGTACGTAACGCTTGGTTTTGATGCAACGCTATCTTGCACTCCTGGACAACCCTTCAGGCCTTCGGGCGAACATCACCCTTTCAGTGGGAAGCTTCTTCCTGGCAGGTTTATCAGATTCAGTGGTGATTCAACAAAAAGAGAATCTTCAATGATGTGATTCTATGATTGCTTCAATTCTCCGCGTGTGGTGCGTCGAGTCAGAATACTCCCAAATCACAATGAATCACACACGCTCAAATCATCGTCAAATCCATGTTGCACTGTCTGGCACCAGCGGTTGGTCTACACTGCAATCCGATATCATCTTGGTGTGAAAACAAAACGCCCAAACTGGACGTGCCTTGCTCAATCATCCGAAGAATCTGAAGAAGTATCTCATCATGCTTCACTTTCAGAGTCTCTCGTGGACTACAGACTGGATTTGGCATATTTTGCTGTGGCACATCGGCTGGCAAAAGCACTGTGTTCTGCTACAGGGCTTTATAGCCTACAACCAATGGTTCTGATTTCAATCAATCCATGCCATCTCAGCCAACCACTGCATTTGACCTTCCAGCATCCACATGTACTTAGTATGTTTTTTTCAAACAACCCCTCGTATCTGATACTTGGCCGTGGAGAGTCCACTAAGGTTCTATTCTCCCGCAAGCATAAGCTTGCCTCTGTGAAAGATACAACAATTGCAAGCCAAGATAAGCCAAGTACCTATGAACCATGCAGTCTATTGCAGTCTCATTAAAACATGTTGAAACCTTCCAGGCAAAATCAAAGAATAAGTGGCTACAATGTGGCTACAGGAATTGTAAGGACACTGGGAGAAAAGGATGATCTCACCTGGGGCTTGGCTCAGTGTCATGACCTTCATGACGTCGGCCGAAAGGGGTAGGGTCTTTGCAGTAAGTCAGTACAAGTCGGTACAAGTCAGCAAGATTTCAAAAATTATCAAACCACTGCATGCTTTTCTCAATGACGCTGCAATGCAACACTGAGACACGTGGCATTTCGCACGTGTGTGAAACGGGTGTTGCCAGGAAATGCATGGCTTTCAGAGCAATAGAACTTGAGGACACGTGTGGATTGTTTCAAACAATGAAATTGCAAAAACAAACCAGAAGGGTCAGAAGGGTTGGTGAGTGGAGTCCATTGTGGATTCAAATGGCAGTATCTCTGCCGCGGTGAGCTGTATCCTTTCAATAGTCTCCAAAAACCGCCAATCATGTGTCAGTCCATGTCTATATCATGTGTATATAATATATTGAATATGTAGAGTAGAAATGAGTAGAATAGCATCCATGATGTAGAATAGCATCCACTTGCATCAAACCAGTGTATATAAACATAGTGTCGAATAGTATACAGTATACAGATACAGAAAAGCTATCTTTATGGGCGGCGTTAGGACAACCGTTCTGTGCATGTCCCAGTCATGAATTCGCTTTGTGACATCTGTGAAACATTGAGGAGATATTCTACCTTGACAAAGCACCTTTGGAGGCGGAATCAATGGCACAGTAAGGTCAAGAAGACTCCAGAAGACTCACGTAACCTTGCATGTTTTTCGGCACAAACCTGCGTTTGAAACTCAACACATGTGGGCCCCTAATGTGCTTGCATGCTACATTGGCAGAGAGTTTTCCAGCTACAACAGTGAAACAAACAAAAGTTGCTTGTATTTGGTTGATTTGTTTTCCTTCTCTGGAAAAAAAAGACTTGTTGTGAAAGTTCAACTGTCGATACCCATTGATGAGCTTTCAACCCTCCACCCGAACTGCCGAAGCTTGAGGCAGGTGAGATGCCTCACATCAATCACCTCAGTAAATTCTAGAAACTCCTCACACATTTTTGACAAAGCTAAATTCTTCGTCTCCCACAAGGTCGAAGCAAGAAACAATCACCAAACAAGAACTGCAAAATTGCCAGAACCCAAAGACTTGGTGGGGTGGACTGCCGGTCATTCAAGAACTTGTGTAACTTCTGACAAATCAGCAAATCCATTCTGTCGAACCCTTTACTGATTCTATCTAGCTGAGCTCACAGCCCTGGCCCTAGTTGCTCCTTCACTTCCGCCTCGAGCTTCTGGTAGGCGGCTTCTGCAATCTTAGTCATCCAAAAATATCCAAAATGCCGTTAGGTATGCCATGACAACTGCAAGAGAGATTGCGATATTGCGATAGTCGTACTACTCGCAGGCTGTGAAGAGCGTTGCAGCTGTCAAGAATGATCTGGGTGACTTGCTGCATCCTCCTTATCAAGGCATTCGGTTTTGTCCTGGCAACCGTTTTAACTGATTCTAACCATTTTTGCAAATTCATGGCTAAAGACCCACATGCAAAAAATCATGGGTAGGATGATGAGCAAACAGCTGCCATCCCTTGCCTTCTCCTTCTCCTGGCCATCAGTTGCCATCTGCGCCTGACGACAGTTGGAGCACTTGCGCGTCACCATCCACCAGAGTTCATGACAGATTTGCAGACGAGTTCTCCGACTGGATTCCAGTACGACAATTTCACAATAGTACCAGCAGCTGCACAGAAATCACAGCGAAGTTGGATTCATTCATTCTAGGTTTTTTTAGTAGAAGGTGTTCATTTCCGTCAACTGCCATCCACTGCCTGCTTCTCTAGCTGGTCCTTCAAATCTTTCAGCTCCTGCTGACGCTCCTGGCAAGTTTCACACGTCATCCCACCTGTATCTCTGCAAACAACAGCATTTGTGGCATATCAAGTCATATCAAGTAGACGTCCCGCTCACAATTCCTATCTTCACTACTTCTGACTGCTGAATTTCGGTGCTTGTACACAATCCAAAACATACCAAAGCAACAACCGTTCGTTTGTTGTAAAAAGAAAGACAGGGGTCATGTGAGGAAGGTGAGTACAAATACAGTACACAGTCCACTCTGAAAAGCAACACAGACGCATTTTGGTTGCACACCGTCCTGGAAATATCTGACGCCTCAAACACAAGCACATCGAGAAAAGACAAAGAGATTAATGACGGAAGCTGAAAATGCCTGTCACACCAGTTGCTGGTTTGCTGCCTCCTTACATTCATTGCCATAACAACCATAACAATCACTTCAGCACACTTTGATCCGTTGCAAGTCCACAGGAATCGTCTGTTCCGAAGCCCATGCAACACTCGAAATTTCACCAAAATTGAGCGAATCTGGGGCTGAAGCGTTTTTCTTCTCGATCCAAGAACTTCCTGCAATCGCTCAAATGACTCAAATGAGCCAACTCAGAAGGAAAATTGCCAAACACTTCCAAACGCTGTCAGGAACTCAAATTTTGCATCACTCCGTGAAATTCCTGTGCCTCAAAAGCTGTCCATGGTCTGTGGGATGCCCTGCCTCATATTTTCTTTTTCTCTGCCACCAGGCTTTATCAAATTCCTCAGAGCAACCAGCTTCAGCAAATACAGTAGCACGCATTCTTCCCCCACCAAATACTAAACCGCATTACAAACAGCGCTTTGAAGGTTGAGAAGGTTGCACGAAAGCAGGACCAACACACACATTGACATAGTTTCCATCCTTTACCGCTGAAGTGATCCTGTGACAGCGAAGTTTTGCCCTGCTTCCAAGGCGCTTTGGGATGTTTTGGATGTGCAAGTGTCCTTGCGCATCACCAACGGCTAGCTTTTGGCCTTCCCTGATTTCGCCTGAGCTCTCAACATGGTCAACACATGTCAACACATGTCCTCAATTTCTCACGTTTGAAGTCGCTGCCGCGAGGTCAACACATGTCAACACCACAAAAGAAACTGAGAAAGGGACCGTGATAGCAAAACATCATGGACGTGATGGCCACAGAAGCACCAGTATCAGAAAGTGACGCCTGCAACACATCTTTGAGTGCAAATAAGATGGCGACAGTCCAAGGTGAAAAGACCCATTCGAACGATCACCCAACAATCCACCAACATCCATCTCAAGGTACAGTAGTTCAATCGCTACCAACATCCATATAAGGGTCCAACATGGAACGTTTCCCAACCCCATTCGGAAATGCTGAAACTGATCTTGGACGAGATGGTCCTTGATATTTTTCCTCTCCAGTATACTAGGATACAACATTCCAAACAAGTTTGAAGCCTTGTGCGACTGATCGCTGAAGTCCCAAATGTCTATCCTGACGGGTTCCACTGCATTCCACTGCATTCCACTGCGCTCCACTGGTTTGGGAGGTGAGAGCGAAAATGTTTATCCTTCGCTGAGACAGTCTTTGTCCGCGAAATCTTTATTGCTGTGGGGATGAGCAAAATGTGATCCCATGGGGTCATCTGCCATCTATGGAGATCCAAAAACTGAACTCCCTGAGATCACTCATCATTTCATTATGACTGTATACCATTGTATACCCTAAAATTCCCTAAAATTTCCTAAAATGTCTGAAGAATCCTCCATGTCTTCTGCTCCAGCAGCGCACAGTATGAAAGTTTAGCACTGTTCTTGCTGCCAAGAAACCCTCCGCTGACCAGGCCCAAGAAGATCACTGACGGTCTTGTGGGACTCCAAACACCTGTGCCAGACACTTCAGCCATTCCACCCACGTGGATATGAAGCTTGCTGGATTCATTGCTCTGACATAATCAAGTGATGCTGCAAGACAATCAGACGCAACACCATAGTGTCTGATCAATGACTTCATGTTCATGGATTCTTCCCAGCATCGGCGAAGACACAGAATCCAGTACTGCCAGAAAGACTGATGACTTCCTATGCAGCCTCGAGTGTAGTAGGTCGAGGTGTAGGAAGACATGAAGAGATGCTCGCTAAGGCCATCCTAGCACGAGAAAGCTACTGGTTCCACAAAAAGTGTTCAAGCTGCAAATTCAAAACAACTACTGGACGTTCCACAATCTAAGCTCCATCAATCTACATCATTTAAGCTATTTCCCAGCAAAACATTCAAAGATCACTTGGATCACTTAGCCTTGAACAGGTAAAAGGCCCAGTCCTTGGACCAAGCACACTGAGCCACACTGGCTGTAAACACGACTGTTGTGACTCACTTGTGACTCACAGCAATCAACTGCAATCAACTGCAATGAGACTCAGAAATAGTACACAGATCATCACAGATCTGTCACAGATCCGGTCACTGGTTGTGGTCTGAGGATTTGCACAGCAGACAGTTGTGCGATCTGTGTCTTCAATCCAAGACGCCGTGACACCGAGCAGGATGTCCGGGAAAAACGGTGAGCGCCTCAAGCCATTCAACAAGGAAGGTGGATAGGAATCATGGGAAATGAGAAACCACAGAGCCTGTTCTGACAAAATTCACAAACACAACAGTTAAGAGCGGGACTCCAAAGATAGCATGGGCCGGAACGTCTTGCAACTACTGTACATCCTTGGCAATACTAATTCGAGATTCAAAGTTTGTTTGTCTGGTAGCAAACAATGGCAGCCAAAACATGCCAAACACGTTCAACTTCCACTGTGTTCGGAAGTTCGGCCAAGCCATCTTGAATCTCAGGTCGAGTCTTTTTGACAACATCCGCTTTTCGGTCCTGACATTTAGAAAGGCTTCTTTCAGGAATGCGTACAAACCTTATACTGGAACAACCAGGTAACCAGGCATCAACCTGCTTGATTTACTCTCCCATGAAATTACAAGTTGCGTGTCAACATTCGTGTCTTGTGTGCAACAGCATGTGAAACATGCAAATGTGCAGATATACCAACATATGTTGCTTACTTGTATGCAAATATATCGACCTGCTGACCTGTCTATATAGATAGGATATATTTCCAGCTTAGCCGCATCTGTCCTCTTCGCCACGAGCAGCCCAATCTCCAAGGATAAGCTCGCCCTCTTCTGTGCTGGCGTAAAAGTTAGTGAGCAACTGGCGCGCGCCAAGGGCAACAAACCGATACAAAGAAGCTGTTGTGACTGTTGTGCAAGGTTCATGAAGATTCCAGACACAAGTCAAAACTAATTGATGGATTGTGTCTGAGATTGTCTGAGTATGTGCAGATCATCTGCCATTTTCAGCATTTCAGCTGCATTCAACATGTTTGATCTGAAGATATCTGAAGTGATTGAAGAATGTTGAAGTGATTTGAAGTGACCTTTGTGCCCTTTTCATCGAAGCGGTCATGGCCTGGACAGGCGGTCGAAAAACAACCAGAAACCAGCGAGAAAGGCATTGCCAACTTTTGGAACGTTTCGCTCCCAACTCCCAACAGGTTTGATATCGGATCTAAACAGCAAACCATGCGACAAGAAAGGTCTACTGAACCTCCAAACTGTATGCACTGTGACATACGGATCTTTCATCGCCAGGGCGCAGTGGAGAATGTGACACAGGCCCATCTCCGTGCCGCTATCCTGAAATGCAAATCAACATTGAGCTGATACGAAGTAAATTATAAAATTATAAAGCACCATAAATATTCTGAAAGCTGGTTATATAACATTATATAACTGGTTGCCTGGTCTCTCACATATCTTTTAGAATTTGGTGACCACATTCCAGCCTGCCGCTGAAGTTGGACGCGGACAACAGGTCTCCAGAGGAAGTCATTGTCGTTAATGGCATCCAGCATGGCCTGGGATATGACATCCCATCCCAAAGGCATAATTTGAAACTCGCTTTACCTTGAACCTCAAATCCGCCCGCACCGAAGGTGCTGGGGCGTGATCTTCCGGATGGCACTCGTAAAAGGTTACAGGTTTACCTGGGGGGGGGTCCCATTTTTCGGCCAAAACCTCCTGTTTTTGATAGGTCGTGACGCTCGCCTTCAAAAAACACTGTAAAAAACAGTACGGAAGACACCTGTTCGTGAACGCGCCCGTCCAAAATCGGCAAGCGAAAAGTGAAAAAAACCCGTGTTTTTCAACTTTTTGACCTCAATTTTTTGGTTTGCAACATCTTTTTTTGCGGTTCCGCAGGTGGCCGGGCCCGGAGGCGGATTTTTGAGTTTTTGGACCCGTTTTCGGACTGATTTTCGTCGTTTTGTGATAGCAGAAACACTGGTTTTTACAGTGTTTTTCTGTTTTCTGCATGCTTGACGGCTAGCTTCAAAACTTCCAAAAACCTCGTAAATTACGCTGTTTTATGTTACGGTGTGAATGAAAACATCGTAAATACCAGTGTTTTTTGACGTTGGTTAAAAAAACACTGTAAATTACAGTGTTTTTGGCCACCTGACCCTCAAAAACCATGGTATTTGCAGTGGTTTCTGCTTCTCACCGCGCAAAAACACTGTAAATAACAGCAATTTCGCCGTTTTTTCATGTTTTTCGTTATTTTTTGAACTGCGTTGGTCCGCTATACATGGCTATCAAATTCTTCGCGTTTTTTTTTCCGACAATCAGTACTTTCGGATGTTTTTGGTCTCAATGGCCGACATCATTGGCAGTTACGAGCGGCTGCCCAACGATGCGGTGCGGGCGGTTGCCGTCGCGAAGCGACGTGAATAACCTCAATATGTAGATTATGCATGATTATGCATGGTTATGCATGATTGTGCATGGTTATGCATGGTAGTGCAAGCTATAGGTGATCATCTAGCAGAACTCGGGAAAGTGATGGCCTCAAGAAATGCAGAGACTGTTTGAACTCATGTTGTAGCCGTTGATTCTGAGCACATGGCCTGAAAGTCCCAAATCATGACCTGGCACAGCGAGCAAAACAATTGCCATCTTTGATCTACATAGGCTGCCTCAACAAGACTCTACTTTGAAAGCTCATTAAAGCAAATGCAAGCACAGCCACAAAGTTGTCATGGCCTGTCCATCACCAGCTACAGTAAGGAAGTACCTGTGCCGAAGCACATTCACTTGCTCTCTGACAAAGCACAACTTCAAAGGTGTGCATGAACAAAGCGTACTTTCAATCACATCAAATCACATCAGGCAAAGCGCACTTTATCGGTGCATCATGAGGATTCTTCTCACTAGCGCCCCGTCCACGACGCTCAATCTGGACAACTCAAGTTCAATTGAAAGAATTGCTGCAATCAAGACAATCCCTTGACCAACAGTGCGTGCAAGGCATGTAGCATGTTCAGGTTTCCAATACTGAGGTCTGCAAAGAAGCAAGTTGTCTCTCAGAGTATAAGATCAAAGTGATAATTTTCCAAAACGAACAAAAGTGGTGTGAGACATGTTGAGACATGTTGAGAGTTAGAGCCACCTCACCTCCAAGGTGGCGGGCATGAACTCGATAGCGACAACAGCTTTTCGGTGCGATTCGTCGATCATGGAGATCTGCCTATGCACCACCTGATCCAAGATATCCAAGATATCCAAGTAGAGCAAAAAGGCATAACAAGAACAGCTTTGCACTTCCCTTCCGAAATAAACATATGCAAACGCTTTGTTTTGACTATTTCCCAAGTAATTCAGGCAGAGCTTCCTCTGCAAACCAGTGACTTGGCTCTCAAAATCCAAATCAAGAGCAGATCCCAACGCACAAAAGTCCCAAGGCCGCGGCTGTTGGAATTGTTGAGTGCTTCTCCTCCTGCGATCGCGACGTTCCATGCTGTGGGAAGATCAAGGAATCAAGGAAGATTGGCAGAAAAAACCGCCTCCAGGCCAGGCCGTGAAGACTGGGACTTCCCGGTGGTCAAGCCTTGATAAGGAACGAGCTTGTGAACTTGTGGAGGTGTTTCTGGAAAAGGTATGAAAAAGTTATGTAGCCATGTAGATGACAAATGACAACAACATAGAAAGGTAGAAAATGGTAGAAAATGGTAGAAAATGGTAGAAAATGGTAGAAAATGGTAGAAAATGGTAGAAAGGATGTGTTTCCTCATGGCAACAAACTGGTGGGCAATGCGAAGTAGATGGACTCATACAGGTCACCAAAGCCTTTCGCAGCAATCATGAAATATCGTTCAAGAAATATATGTATGTATGTATGTATGTCTGTATGTCTGTATGTCTGTATGTCTGTATGTCTGTATGTCTGTATGTATGTATGTTTGTTTGTTTGTCTGTTTGTCTGTTTGTCTGTTTGTCTGTTTGTTTGTTTGTTTGTTTGTATGTTTGTATGTTTGTATGTTTGCATGTTTGAGTTTGTATGTTTGTGTCTTTGTGTGTTTGTATGTTTGTATGTTTGTATGTATGTATACATATTATATCATGTATACAGTATACATATTATATTACATTATATATATACTTATATATACTATGTGTGTGTACCGCTTGGGCTCTTACCAAGGTCAGTTGGAGAGAGTTTCCACACCTTGGGTGCCAAAACTGGTCAGGAAATCAGGACGCACAATTAGATGACTAGATCTTAGTGATGGCCTTTTTCCCAACATTCGTAACCTGCACTAAATAGGGACCAAGCAAGGGCAATAGACTCAACATGTCAATGCCAGGGTTGGCTTGAACGTCTTGCCAAGTCCAAGCTGAGCAATGCGCAGCTATTTGGCCATTGCCAAGACCTGCCCAGAGTCTTAGAAAAATCTCGGAAAATCCGTGGACCAAATGACCAAATCTTGGAAAATCTTGGAAAAAACAGAGATGCTTTGGTGCTCAGCTCTCAGTCGTCTCTCGGCTGTAGCTTTCAGCTTCTGAGGCGCGCTCCACCAATGAGATACGTGGGATCGCTGGGGTAAAACTTGAAAACTGTCACCTGTAGCTGCTGTGCTGTGAATGGATAAGAAACTACCAAATCTCACCATGACGGTGCATAAACAACTTGCAAACATGTGTGTACAAGAGCTTGATTGATTGGTTTTCGATGTTTGCTTGTTTGCTTGCTTGCTGTTTGTCTCCAAACATTTTGCAGTAGCAAGTGACATGGCTTGGCTGTCTTGACTGGTGAAATAAGCACCGCCGTAGCAGGCAACACTTTGGGCAATCAACCACAAGGTCAAGCGGTTTCTGTTCGTTTCTGTTCCCACGCCTCCCACGGAGACTCAAGGACAGCATGTGGTGACAGTGAGTCTGCAAAGGACCAAACAAGGACCGTACTGACCTCAGGCAGACATGAAATCTAAAATAGTTGGTACTGGAAAAGCAAGTCTGAGAAAGCTCAGCCTGATTCCGCCTGTGCGGACGGAATTATGATACCCGGCCTAATGATTTTACGGTGACTCACTCCTTTAGACTCTTAAAATCTCTTAATCAAGACTTCACATGTCTAAGTCTTTGGCTGTCGCCTTGCCCGAGTTCTCAAGCCGCTCTGTGAAGGGCATGTTCCTGCAGCTCAGCTTGCTAGGCGGCCCATACATCTTGCCCTTGAGTGCTTTGCATATTGCCCATACATTTTGCATTTGCGAACGAAGCTCTGAGGTCCATCATTGACTGAGTTCACACATGCTGAACTGCACGCACTTTCCCATGTCATCTGAGGCAACAGCTCGCAGCAGGAGGACACCACCATGTCCGAAGAGTTGGGAACCCACTCCACCCACTCCTCAGAACAAAGAAAATCCATCAAATGGATTCAAATGGCACCCATTACCATCCAAAGATTTCTTTTAGAATCCAAGATTGCGCAGGCTTTGCTTCTCAGCATGTCAACCTCTCCAAATTTCTTGGCCGTGTCATTCAAGTCACTCTAAGTAACTCTTTCAGCTTACACTGCGAGTCTGCAAACCTTCCAGGTTTCCAACAATCCGCTTGCCCTTTGTGTACGTCACATCGTGGAAGTTCGGATGCTCCTAGAGATATGACAGTCATCCAGGGCTCTGTGTCCAGTCAAGCAGGAGCACTCCTGAGTCCTATTTCCAGTCATAAGTTTGTGCAATGCGCATGTTTTCGCTTATAAAATCTTCTATTAAATACTGTTGATATGCCAACAACATCCAAGCAAGGCAGGTGTCCAAACCGTCAAACCAGTTCAACCTTCGTCCATTTGGAGCCATTTCGTGTCACGTCGATCCTTCAGCTTGGAGTGCGTCTTGGTGATAGCACCAGCTTCTTCTTCACCCAAATGGGCAAACCTTGGTATTTCATTATTTGATCAATCCAAACATCAGATCATCAGCTGTGCACGAACAGTTTCCACAGTTTCCACCAATGGCCATTTCTGGAAAGCCATGGTGCAATCAATCGGAGTCGGACTGCCACCGCTACCGTTTGCCTCTCTAACACCGTTGCGAATAAGGGACTCCTCCTGAAAGATGTCCACCGTTTCGTTGGTTTGCAGAGCTTCCTCAACACCCACACCTCAAAGCTGACTTTTGACGGCGGAAGTCCACCAAAACCGCTACTTTGCCAAAGCCGAATTGCTCCTCTGCCAAGGTCAAACTTTGAATGCAATTTTGCAAATATAGTAGGAAAACCATGGGAAACCATCAGATCTTCACATATTTTTCCAACGACCCCAACACTTTGAGTAGAAGACTGACATTTGAAAGGAAGGCAGAAAGCTCATCTACCTGTCCAAGACCACAGGGTGGGTACTGATGAGAAAGTTTGGGATTATCTCGGGGTACAGCAAGATACAGCAAGTATTACAAAGAATGCTGTAGTTAGCTAAGACTCATGACACATAAGAGATGACAGGTGGGGTGGCATTGCTGGCAGCATCCCTACTGATGTTGACATCCTTATTCATCCGCTACCCAACTCTTGCTGTGCAGTTAACGAATGTTGCTTGTAAAGTCTTTTGCAACCTTGACAACAGTCTCACGGAGGAATATAAATACCAAACTGAAATAAACACTGCACCTTGTCGTAGCCCAAATCTGCACCACGCTGCAAGAAATCACTTGGCCTCAATCCCAATTGTTCCGTTTCACAAAATGTAACCTGAATCATCAGAATCAGAACCCATAACAACTTCCTCAAGCAATCTATACTAATTGTATCTAATTGTGAATAGCAACACACGCTCAGTGTGCATTCAGAAACATTTCAGCACGGTTCCAAGCCCCCCATTCCAAGTCCCCGTCGTGTACTGTGTGGATTTGTTGATTGGTCGGAACCTCAGATGGTGCGCAGGCAGGGAGCTTCCGACAAAGGAGCAATGTATGCGAAAGCCATCGAAAGTCGAAAGTCTGCTCGGGCGAGGACCAGGTAGTCTGACAAGAGCACGTCCGAGTCTCCTTGACCGCCTGGCTTCATGATGCTTCATGTGTCTTTAGCTCAATACTTGAAGTCAAGAGTTTTGCGCCTACATCGTGTGATAACTCAGTGTGACTGCACCTTCATTACCGCTGTGTCCTTTTTTGCCTTACTCTCGATGACAAAGCTCTATAGGAACCCCAAATCAACCTCGCCAACTTGGCCCCAACTTGGCCTGAATGCCAATCTCCAGCTCCCTCTTGGGCGGTGCGAAATTGTGGTCCTGGAGTTTCAGTTTCATCCAGGCTGAATGCAACGATATTACATGGCATTACATGATATTGCCACATTAATTATAATTAATTGCAATGATAATGTTACCAACCAAACATGCAAGATGACCTTTGTTGCTTCCGTGAGCCAGTCAGCTGCGATTTCTCTCACGATCTCCATTTCATAAATTTGTACAACAGGTCTTGTCGGATTTGCCATAGATTGCTACGGTTCATTGCACTATTGACAGGGTGAGCTCGAGAGACTCGGCTGCCTTCTGAGGGCGGCAGTTGTTGATATTCTCACCTGCAGTCGACACGTTTGAATTCGACGTTGAGCGATCGATGTCAAGGCGCTGCTGATTTCTCGCAGAGCTTCGCTGCTCATCTAGGCTGTGTACCAGAGTCGCTGAGCTTGGTGGACTTCCCAAACTGCCCACGTGTCCTGCAGGTGAACTGCAAGAAATGTTTCGAAGGAAAGAGGCAGTACATGGCAGTACTGTAACAGAATGGAAAACAATCATGAAAGCAGGCCACAGGAAAGTGCTGCAACAAGAATGAAACATACACAAACAGGTACACCTAAAAGCAGGTACACTTGGTGCAACTTCAAAGCAACACTTTGAATCAGTTCCCAGAGCAAACTTTGTTTTTGTAGCGTTTCTCTCCGCTCAAATGTCGGTTCGATTGTGGAATGAAACTTCACAACCTGGATTCGTAACACAAAAATGACTTATTTCATCAAAAACTCTCGCTTTGGCTATTTTTTGAGGCTCGGCCCGACCTGGTGATCATGATCTGAAGAAGTGGCCGACTATTCTGCACGGTGAAGTTCTGCACCTGTGAACCAAACGATTGGCTTGTCGGAAGTCAACACTTCCAAACTGCAACATTGGAGCAGCATTTTCTGCATGTACCTTCTGCAGATTTCTGAAGTGATTCTGTAGACCCATGACTTTCAAGTGACGGTAGACCCATGTTCATCATCTCCCGGCGGTAGTCCGAGGCGACCTCCTCATGAGTGGCCTCTGCTGTCTCTGACTTCCACTCACGACACTCCTGGAGTCCGGTTGAAGTCAACGACTGCCATGTTGAAGAATCTGCTGGTTGGTCAGCAATGCAAGTGGGCTTTCATTTATTGTCCAACATGCATAAGCAGGACTGAAATGCTCAACTTTTTTTCCCCCACGTGATTGACAAGTAGTAGCAGTTGAGGCCTACAAATATTCATGTGAAGGATTGTGAAGGTATGTATTGGACAGCAGCTAAACCTAGCTTTGGTCATCTTAGTTGGAGTCTTAAAAAATAAATGTCCTTCGGCACATCGCGCACCACGATGTTTTCATCTGGTTCATCCTGCAGCACAACATCTCGAAGCTACTGGAACACAAAAAGCACATGGGTAACACATGGGTTTATCTGAAATTTGGGCACCCCCGAATCTATTGTCTAATCATCAAGTTCAATGTTCCCTATTATCTGGGTGGTACACCTCATTTTCAGACACGCTCATATGATATCAATTCAGTATGTAAGTGTGTAATATGTGCTGATATTTCCGCCATCAATAATGACAGGCTTTCACAGAAATGACAAAGACTCAACTTGATGAAACACAGCCAATTGAAAAGACAAACACCACGGTTTGAAATGATCCATTGATTGTCTGCAGCAACATGGTGAAAAGGGAAATGGCGGCGAAAGAGAAAAACGAAGACTGCAGAAGGCCGAGAAGAAGATGGAGTGCTGCACTTCTCTCCTGCATAGCCTCTTCTTCAGCCGCTTCTCCCCGGTTTTCACGATCGAACTCGTCCAGTACGGCCTGAAAGCCAACGGGGCACGGGCATGTTACCATGTTGAAGCCGCAGTCAGCTATCGCAGCTACGCACATATCTTTCACACATGTTCATCTACAAAAGTATGCGTGTACAACCCAACTGTCCAACATGACTATCGCATACTATTGCTATGTAGCCAAAGTCACCTTGCCGCCAACCTGTACCGAACTACTCATGCACCAGAAGCCAGTGACAAATGTCAAACCGTTGCCTGCCGACGTGCGTTCAAGCGCTCCATCTCCCTGTTATACGCATCTTCCGTAGTGCACCTTGGCTGGCAAGAATTCAGGCGTTCTTTGTGCTAAGCCTGCTGGGAAGACAGAGCTTTTGAGGAAATCCCGCCAACGCACTACGGTTACCGTAAGCTTATCTAAAGTGGACATGGACAAAATCGTGGATGGGAGCTGCTTTGAAGCTCCTGCAGAAATCACGGCTCCAGGAACCACCTCACAAATCCTGAAGCAGTCACAGCCATGTCCTGAGTCTTTACAGTGGCACAAAGTCCAAAAGCTTTGCGGTCAAGCAACCATACAATCTTCTCGCCATAGGCCTGAAAAGTGGCTGGTAAAATTACAACCCGTTGCAACTCTGTGCGAGACCGAAAACATCAAGACTCTGCCCCGAATCCCAAAGCGTAGGTAGGCTCAAGGCTCTCGACGGCTCAAAGATCAGGAGAATGTCTTCCAAAGGATATTTCTCAAAGTCCTGAATCCACGTCTGGTTGTTGGGTCAATGAGGGAGAGCAGAAACACGCATGCATGTCAATACAACCAATGACGACATGATCCTAAGCTCCAAGAAGGCTTGGCAAAGACGTTCTGACGTTCTGAGATTGAAAGTGTGTGGAAGTAGTTTTGCATTCAAGTGAGGCTTGAAGCTTGCCGTTTGCAGCTCCTTCTGTTGTGGGTGGTAGTCCGAAGCAAAGCACATCTTTTTCACCTTGGCATAGAACATGCAAAGTGCAAAGCAGCGCAGAGCCAAAGGCACAAAAGCAATGTAAGGTATAAAAAAGCAACACTCTGTGCCTGGCTGCAGTATGAGCAAAGTCTTTTCTGAGTTCAATACTTGCTCCAACACCTCCGACTTCTTGAGATGAGTGTAGGGTTTCAACCTGAGTTCAACTCATGTCGGTGCGTAACGCTGCGGCAGTGCTTTTGTTTCTTTGATTCTGACACAATTCCGAACTGGTCAGAAAGATCCCAAAGATCCAAAAGGCAAAGGCAAAGAAGAAACAAATGCAAATTCCAACTTCATTATTTTCATTGTCGGATATGATAAGTCTACACAAATTCAGCTTGGCGCCCCTGACTTCATTCCTGAAAATGGAACGTCATCAGACTCCTCCACCTCATCGTGCAAGTCAATGGAGAGATAGTTCTTGGCCTTGGTGATCCCGTCAAGACGGTCAAGATAGTCAAATTTCAAAATTCGCAATCCATTATGATCCGGTTTGTGAAGCTTTGGATGTTTCTGGACTGTCGAAGGAAACTGCTTCTTTTCAGGCCACCCTCGATCTGTGCTGAGCATTGCAGTAGCATTGCTGCATCCTTCTGCGGCCTGCTTCGCAGGTTCGAGCCATGAAGAAAGCAATCTCTCTATCCAAGTGAGCCCAGTCTGGTACAGTGGTCGCCCCAAACTGGCACAGTGACCCATGCAGTTTGGGGTGCTTGGACCCAAAAGCCGTTCTTTCCGATGCGTCATTATAGATACTGATGCAATATCGAACGGCATCAAGGTCCTACAGTATCAAGGAATTGTGATTATGAATCAGATTGTCGACACGTGCATTGGTAATTGTTTGAACATGTTGATCACTGCGGAGGGAGAGAGTTTGAGAAACCTCGAAAGAGGAACCTCGGCTGCCTATGTACAATTCGACCCCTAAAGATTCCTAAGGCCAAGGGCAGCCCAAAGTTATCTAAGTTGTGAGATCTGAGATCTGCCAGCTTTCTCTCGTCATCTCCTGACCTTTGAGGAGTGTTTGAAAGAAACTGCCATGGCACGGGACAGAAACAGTGATACAGTCTCGTTGACGGGTCGCGTCGTACATAAGTCGCTCATCAAATCTCACAACGTCAGTTCTTTTAATCAGTTGATCTCAGTTCCAAAGGAGAAGCCTGTCGCAAGCCAGGAAATCTAAAGTGTGAGAGCGTGGAATAAACTGTGGAACAAACACCTGACTGCAACAGTTCGACGGTCTTCTCTTGTGCGCAATCCAAGGTACAAAATTCAACGAATCTCTTTGACATTCAATACATCTCGTTTGCATCGACAATGGCAAGATTTGACCCACTCAGAAATGAGGCACAATCTCAGGGTGCCTCGCTAGGTACTTGTGACGGAAGCTCGAAGCGTCGCAATGAGCTCATCAGAGATGCCACCCTGCAGGACCAGCAGATTTAGTTTGTTGTTACTCGGTGTTCTCATTTCTTTCATTTCTTTCATTTCTTTCATTTTACCTCATTTGATTTCAATATGTTGATGGCTCGTCTAGAGCTGGGCAGCTGCAGTGCAAAGATCTTATGAATCCGCGGGGCCTGGCGTTCGTGCAAGAACTCCGCAGTTCGAGCGGCAAAACCATCAGGAGATGCCTCACCAAACTGCGGCCATCAACCGCAACAGCCCTGGCAGTGTGGTACATCTGGATTGAAACTTGCACTGGTGTTGGTCCGCAAGCGCCTCGGCAAGGGCAACCTTCCAGCAGGATCTTCAACGTGTGAAACAAAATGTGTCGGACGGATCCGGACGGTGCAAATGCTTCCACAAGCTTCCAGATCGGCTTTGCAACGGCTTTAGAATTTAGATGAATTTAGAAACTCTTGAGAGGTAGCCTTGAACTTCTTCATGAGCCATTCTGATTCATCATCTTCGGACTCCTTCATCACAGATTCAAAAGTATGCAGTACAGTCTGTTTGTTGTTCGCAGTTGTCTTTAAAACTGAAAAAGACTCAGAAAGTCGACAACAGCAATTGACAGAATGACTAAGTGAAAAGAAACGAGAGAGCTGCATCTCTTGTCTCCCTTGGGCTCCGGCTCCCTTCGGCTCCTTGTCACTTCCTAAAAAGAAAAGGCCCAGTGGCCCAATGGCCCTGTCTGGCACGTGTCACTCTGAGAGTCTTCCATTTTGTCATTCCTCTGAGGTCAGCACTTGGCAGCTCAAAGTAGAGATCCAGCATTGCTAGGAAACCACCTCAAGCAAAAACACACATGTTTGGAGTCACTTGGAGTCACTTGGAGTCACTTGGAGTCACTTGGAGTCACTTGGAGTCACTTGGAGTCACTTGGAGTCACTTCTTGAACATCAGAACATCAGAACATCATGAACATTCAACCTAAAGGACCCAAAGTAAGTGTTAATAAACCATTGTGCAGTGTGTATCTCTAGCAATTTTACCTTCTCCAGTGCCTCTTTTTCACAAGTCCTACAGTGTACTGCAGCCAGGTGTCTGAAGAGCGCACGAGGGCCCCACAAGAAGCAAAGATCCTGGAACAACGAGCAACTTGTGCGGTCTTTTAGTGGGAATTAAAACCTGCGGAAAATCAGAATCTCTTTTTGTTACTATCCATCATTCAATTATTGATTCAATTCATCCCTCCCAACTTTCAAGACTTTCAGGAACAAAGTCATACTCATACACATCAATAGTTACTCAATAGTTGTATTGTCTCCCTTGCCCCAAACGAAAGATGCTGCTCCAATGATTAAGCAATATCACAATACCTGAGTATTTAGGTCGATTCATGCTAGCATATGTTTATTGCATCTGAGTGTGTCTGGTGGCGTCGACCCCGGGGTCCCAGAGGCAGGCGATGAATGGCAACCTCAACCATGGCCATCAAAAGACATCAAAAGAGGACATCAAAAAAACAAAAAAAAACGCTCTCAATGTCGTGCAAGAGTCGTGCAACACACGTGCAACCACCTAAAACTCAGGGCTACTCAAGACATTTATTCACCAAGCTGCGAAGTGGTGTTGGAGCCAAGGGTTAAAAAGTAGTCCACTGTGAACCAGAGCACCTGCCAAGATACAAGATAAGACAAGCACGTCAGCGGGTGAGGGGAGGGTGGTACTTCATGGCAACCCACATTGAAAGACATTGAAACCACTGGGTGACAGCATCGTGCCTGGATTCCAGTCTTCTCAAAGAGCATGGCATGACGAGGCAAAAAACTCCTCACTGTAGGGAAAACAGGTCAACAGGTCAACAGGTCAACGTCACCTAAAGAATATCTCAAGACGAAAGAGACCCATCATGTTGTAAAATGTTGTAAAATGGTGTAACATGTTGTAACATGTTGTAAACTGTTACCCACTCAGCACCTGTATCACAGGATCAAAAAACACTCGTGTAGTTTCAAGCCAAGGCACTGGATGAGGATGTCCTTGCACAGAGCATCCCCAAGAGACAATTTGGGAAATGATGGAAGACACGGAAGACAACAAGTATCACCATTTCCACCAAGTACAAGTTCGACAACTTTTGTCTTGCTGTATTTTGAACTTGGAATCGGGTGTGCAACCTGCTTTACTGTACTTTATTTCCTGCGGCAATCGAGGGACCTGAAGCAAAACGACTTCGAATGCAAGTAACATTACAAGCTGGAAACAGCCACGAGATTCAATGATCACGCCAAGTATCTGCCACCCCGGTATCTCGAAAAAGACCATGCAAGTCGGGATAATGACATCCAGGCAACAAATCCTGTCCAATATGTACTGCATAGGCATAGGCGCGATCGATCAATGACTCAAATATTCAAAGCTTCGGTTTGACTCTGCTGCGCTTTTTTCCTAGGTTTCACATACCTTCGCCTGCTGGGGGCTCTGCCTTCATGATGGCATCCATCATGGAAAAGGCAGCTTCCTCTTCGAAGCCCAGCTTCAAAAAGACAGCAGCCAACTGGTTCCTCAGCACAGTGCAACGCGGTGACTCAGAGTTGCAATACAAATAACCAGGTAGTCGTCCATGAACATGAACCTCCATGCTGCATCTTCCTGACATGGAAGACTTAAAAAGTTTTGACAATTAAACACTATTAAACATTTACCAACTTTTACATACTTTTCCCAGATTTTGCCATGGCACATACCCTGGGCATAGCCAATTTCTGGCCGGTGAGCTCCTAAAGCATGCAGCACTCGCCGAAGCTCTGTGTGACGACCAACAACAAGGCTGTTCCTGACATGTCCATGTTGAGTATTGCAACAAGGAACCCCTCAACATCTCGAAATCCACAGAATGGGGAAATGCTTAAGATATCTTTGTGCCAAATGTGCCAAATGTGCCAAATGTGCCAAATGTGCCAAATGTGCCAAATGTGCCAAATGTGCCAAATGTGCCAAATGTGCCAAATGTGCCAAATGTGCCAAATGTGCCAAGCGCCTTGTCCGGGGTACGTCTGCATCTATTTGCTCTTTCACCTTCACAGAGTGCAGAGGAACACCAGCAGGACTGAACGAGACTCAACACCCGAGTCAGTGCTGCATACGACGTCCATCCCTTGGTTCTGGGAAGCAAGGACCAAAGGGTTTGTCGACATTTCTCAACATTGACCTTTCAAGATCTTCGCAGCGCCTTGTTAGGCAATTGCACATCCAGCAGCTTCTCAAACTCAGCTGATGAAGTGATGCGGAGCAGCTGTGGCCACATGCGATGACGGTACTTCAACGGCATTCCCCCGTGACCTGCAGCTGGTGAGTGGAAAAGCATCGAAAAGCTATTAAGTTTCCCTAGTGTCTGTGTTGCGATGATGCAACCCATAACATGTTGCGATGCATGTCCATGCATGTCGAACAAATTGCACTGTACACTAAGAACGCTAAGAAGCGCAGGACAACTCTAAACCTATACATCCAATCCTAATCCTGTCTACGTTGGATCATCTTTCCATGCCGAGCCTAAAAGAAGTCGCTCTACTGCCACTTTGCCCAAGCTTTCGTTGCCCTCTTGAGCTTCTTCCATTGCTAGCTGCCAGGCTTCATGGGCTTCTGCCACTTCTTCGGGTGCCTTCGGGGCCAGCCGAGTTTGTTGAGACTTGTGCGAAGCCACCGCCACCATGCGATTGAGCAGCATTGACATGTAAGGCATTGTCAATAAGACTTGAATCCAATGCAAATTACACAACAACATGTGGTTAATTTCATGTGATTTCCCTCCTGGTCACTTCTCTTTGGACTTCCCACACTTTTTGGACTGTCGGAGGCTTCCACATCCTCGGGAAACAAACAACACTTACCATACACATCTATGAGCTACAATTCCAAGACGTGGGAGGCTAGTGTTGACTGCAATGCGACGATTGGTGCTTGTAGGAACTTTGAGCAGGTCAAGCCTTTTCAGAGCGTTTTGGTCCGCCCTCTTTGGATTTTTCCGAATTTATATAATAGATGTCAACACAGTCAACACTTTCAGATTGTCTTCCACTCTGACACCCACAAAGCATGGGACTGCACCTCGACTGGAGACCTCATCATCTGTCCAACATCCTGTCGGTTTCAACCAGCACTTTGCTCTGACAATACGATTCCAATTATCTATATATACATATCTATACTCATGCTTTCGCTCACATGATTCCAGCATACTTCAGCCCTTCGTTCCATCTCGTCCCTGACAAGTTCACAAAGTATGCACAATTCTTTTGATATGTGATATATCAATATATATATAATTATATTATATATATATATTATATATATTATATATTATATATATATCATGCATATTAAATATGTATTGCACAATATCACTTGTGGACTCCTAGGACCCTGTGCTGCCATGCCGCGTGCCTCGGAGGCAGTGAGCCGCTGCACCAAGGCGCGCGCGTGGGTCAGCTGCGGGGCCAACGAGTCCAACGTCAAGGCGCAGAAGTCGCCTTGACGCGACACGAGAAATGCCATCGGTGTGTCGTAGCCAAAAATCGAAACAAAGAGGTGAGACAAAAAACAAACAATGACATAATGACATAACAAAAATATATTTATATAGTAAACATTAGTAAACATATAAAGATATCGATTGGGATACAAGGGAATGTTATATATGATGTTGTGTGATTGTGTACTCTTGTGTTATCTTATGACATCTCACATATTGGCCATTGGCTTGTGTCCTATAGATCTGTCAGTCTATGGTTTGCAACCCGCAGGAACGAAATCTGTACGAACTCTGCTGATGCTTTCACTGTAAGGTCGGGACGGAGTCCAGCGAGCCACAGCAAGGCACCCAACTGCTCGGAGGATTTCACGTGTGCCATGGGTTCGTCACATTCAGGGCACCCCCCCTGACGCAGTGAATGGCTCCAGAGCCATACCCTGAATTCTTGGTGCGGTTCAAAGTATTGTTTCTGTGATTTCTGTGTCTATGCATGAGAAGATCCTACCTCACAAACTTCTTTTCTTTATCGAGCTATCAAAATTTCTGGAGTCAGTGATTTTTAGCCAATCCCGTGGGCATTCGATTGCTTTCAGATTGGGTTTGCTCTAGTTGCAAAGTGCCGACGTGGATACTTCAGGTATGTTGTGGTTTCGCTGAAGAAAGTTCTGTTCCAAGGCCTCACTTATCTTTGGAATTCATGTATCGGATTGTTCGCAATGCTCATTGCAAACACTTCCCAACTGCCTACCTGGTCCACACACTTTGCATGGAAGCCTCGGATGGCCCAGGTGACATGAGATTTCCATGTAAACTTGTAAGCTTCGAGCACAATATAGGGCTGTCAATCTGTCGACTTGAAGCATATCGGGGTTTTGCGAGAAGCACACATCATTCAGTCAAACTCACTCATGACTACACACAACAACCATCATCAACGTGAGAGCAAGGGCATAACAAAACGTCAGAGCAGGACTTTTGTAACAGGTTGGCCGTTTGATTCACCTGTCCAGCTAAGATAGCCTTTGGCTTCAAAATCTGGACTGGTAAAAGACTGACTCCCCCTACCCAGCTGGTGTGGGCGGGCGGGGAAATGAAAACACCCCAGCCTTGAGCCAAAATGGCCACCAAGGCCGAGGTGAAGCTCCCACCCTCAACTCCCCTCTCACTCAATTGGTTGTTACAAACACAGCAAGCTGTTAAAACCAACAACCATCATCAACTTGAGAGCAAGGGCATAACAAAACGTCAGAGCAGGACTTTTGTAACAGGTTGGCCGTTTGATTCACCTGTCCAGCTAAGATAGCCTTTGGCTTCAAAATCTGGACTGGTAAAAGACTGACTCCTAGATGAGTCAAATGCCAACCATGTCCCACCTGCGCAGCGCATTACGACTCTGACGACTGCGACCGGGAAGAGGAAGAAGAGCTCCCGTCGCTTTCGTTATTTGAAGGGAGCTTGAAACATTTGGAGCATTTTGCTCCGTTGGGCTCTTCTTTGAGAAGGGCATAGTCGGCTTGGCCACGGGCAAAATGCCAAAAGCACTTTGTGCGCCACAAGTAATGTGGCAAAGTGTTTCCGTGGCGTGCCGCCAGGTGTACTTAACAAAAAGTACATCATTCTCCGGTGGTTCTGGTGCCGGAGGTTCGATGATTGCTGCCGCCTCGCAGTCAGCCAAGGCTTCAACCGGCTGGTGGGCAAGGCCAGTTGCGGCTGCCGTGGCTTCTTTGGTGGCCGCCAGAATGGCCGATAGCTCAGCCCTTGCTGATGCTAGGGATGCTTTGAGCGAAACTTCTTGGGCCAATCCATGGAGCTGTTCGAGGGGAGCGTCTCTTACATATTGTTTAAATATTTCGGATCCCCAACGACCAAACAATTGGATTCTCCAAAGTTCGATTTGGGTGCGAGCCATGTGTACGGCTCCTGTGGCCCTGGCTGAGTGGCCTGTGAATAGTCGAAGCCCCGTGGGGCCGACCAATTTCAGCTTCAGCTTTTGGGCAATCGCCTCAAAAGTGCCGGCCCAGCCTGACTTGGTCGTCTGAGCGCCGGTATCTGTACAGAAGAGGAACGAATGCCTTTTTGCTTTGGCCCATTTCACTTGTTCCACCATGAGATGGTATGGACAGAGTGCTGGGCTTCCTTGCTCCGCGCAGGAGCATGTGTGGGTGCGAGTGGCGCCCAACGCGCGCCAGTCTGCTTTACTGGACGGCAGATTCCATTTTATTAACTTTTCTCTAGGATCCACTTGCACGTGCGCTAGCAGCGTGTTGCTGGCTTCAATTTCCCTCAACAACCACCAGGACGCAAGCACCGTTGACCGGGCGGCCCATTCCGGGCCCCCTGGCGCAAGCGGATTGCTTACGTCGGTGAGAGTGGAAACATCGGCCAATGGCAAGGGTTGAGCTTGCTTTGCTGGCCCTCTGCCCCGCTGGCACGCACGCTTGGCGCTTTTAGCCGCTAGCGCTAGCTGTGCTGTCCAGGGTTGCCCTTTTTCGATGTGCCTTTGCTTCGCGACTTCGAGGTACAGTTCGGCTGATCTGTACCCTGCTTTGTCCAGGGCCCCCATGACAGAATATATCAGGTCGGGGACGAGATCAAAAGCGCGATCGTACCCGGCTGCCTTTGCTACGGATTCCCAAGTGCGCTCCCTAGACAATGTTGGCCCATGGGAGTTGGCCGCACGGGCCTGCTTGGCAATGTGCTCCATGCACTCCCGGGGTCCGGAGCTGGCTGCCTGAACGGCTAGCTCCAGGGATCCCCTGCCATATGGTTTAACTTGGCGGTCCTCGGATTTTCCCGCCTTGTTGTCAATACCATCGGCAACGGGGGCACGGGACGAAATGACTGGCCCTTCTGCCAAGGGCCTGAACCCTTTAGGCTTCTTGGGCTCGTCGTGAGCAGTAGCTGGCCTTTGCCAGTATGTGGGCCCTACGGACCTTTTCATGCTTAAAATGCTGCGGGGAAAAACTAACCGATCGGACAACCCTCCTACACCTAATAAAACATTCACACCCAAAAGCCTCCCCCCTTCCCGTCCTCAGGTAAACCGCCGCACTTTTTCCGCGTCCGAGTTCACGGATTTGCCAAAAGTCGGGACCTACCTCGATGGGAATCCGTTTGGCTTCCCCGAGGCGATCTTGAGGAAAAGGAGGCGGCACTGGGTCGTGTTGCCTGCTCAACGGGTCGGCTGTGATGTTGAGCTTGGTGTTGATGTGCTGGAGTATAGTGACCTCATATCTCTCCTTGGCCTGGTCGAGTGCTATTTCCCTGGCAACCACCTGCAGTTCGGGTGATTTGGCCTTACCCTTCGCGAGTAGGTAAAGGGCCGATATGTTGTCCGCTTTTACACGGACCACTGAGCCAATGGGGAACCGCACTAACCAGATGCGAGCCGCCAAGAGCAGGCAGAGAGCCTCCCAGACTACCATGTGTTTTGGTATTCCGGGAATGGCTACTGTCTTCACTAGGGAATGGGGCAGCTGAAATACTCGATGGCCGCCCCTCCCATGAGTAGCACTCCGCCCATGCCCCAAGTCGAGGCATCGGTTATAATTATGGCACCTGAGTTAGGTTTGACTGACCTCACCACTCGAGTGAATGGTACAGTCGACTCTTCCAATAGCGCGAGGATCCATTCCATGGAGTGGGCAATCCGTTTGGTGTGAACGAGCTTTCTGGCCCTGGACGGGCCATCATCAGTCGCCAACACCGCCCAGATGCCTCCCAGGAACGGGCGCATCAATGGGACGATGCTTGCGAAGAATGACAGTGCACCGGCTAGCGATTGCAATTGCTTCTTGCCCACTACCGGTCTCGCCATAATTTTCGTGATGCGTTCCACAACCTCCGAGACCTTGTCGGCTGGAATGGTTATGGAAACCGCCCTGTCCTCCTGTAGTATGCGCATTTCTGCGCCGATCCATTTCACTGAATGACCTGACTCTGTCTTCTCCATTTTGATCGGGAAACCCGCCACGGCCGCCCAGAGGATGCTGACCGTGATTTGTTTGTCCGGGTCGCTGGAGTCGAAGACCATGATGGGGTCGTCGACATAGATCTGGCATGCCACTGCAGGGTTGACGGCCGCCAACGTTCTGCCCAGCCACGAAGCGAAGCGTCCCCAGAGAGTCGGTGACGAGACTGCTCCGAAGACGAGCACGTCATACACCAGTACTTTCTGTTGGCCGTTCACTTCAATGGCAGCTGCTGTGAACGCTTTGTCCTCCCCTGCCGGAACATTGTGGAACGCGTTCTCAATGTCGATCGCGAAGAATACTGTGCCCCCGGCTCTGAGGATAGCGACTGCATCTGCCGCTGCGTCGGTTAGCCTGGGCAGTATGATTCTCTCGCCCTGAGAGCATAGTCCGTTTACCCCTGATTCACGTAGGTCCCAAATGGGTCGGGCCTTTCTCTTGTCACCCTTCACCTTCACGATAAGGCCAAGCTTATTGAGTACCGGCCAACGGCCGAGGTACGTTGTGGCCTCCTCCATGGTGTCGAACAGGGAAATGAAGCCTTTTGCTTGGGCCTCTGAAACTAGTATGGCGAGGTCTTCCTGCCATTCGTCAGCTGATGGGTGATTCTTCCATCCTTCGTACTGCCTGGCCAGCTGACTCGCCGCTTCCTCTTCCCAATGTGGTCCTGTGACCCTGGGAAATACCCCTGTGCAGGGTATCGGTTGTGAATAGCCCAGCGAGGCTCCTTCTCTCAGCCAGGTGGCCAGCAGCTTGGCGTCGGGGTCCTCTGTGAATTCACCCCAGGCCCAAAGCACTTCCGCCGAGATAGGCGTTGACGCCCTCGTGCTCTTCTGAGGTAGTTGGACGCCGGCCGGAGCCAGCAAGCCCACCACCAGCTCTCTGAGTTTCTCGACGAACGCTTTGTCGAGGGGCACGGTTTTCTGCCCCCCCAGAAGAGCCTTTGTAATGCGTACTGCTTCTGGATGGGTGGCTGCGTTCAGGAGGAGTTCATTCATGGCCTCGCCTGCAATCAAGGATCTGGGGAGTTTGGCTGCTGCAGCACGAGGGTTTCTCATACCCCCAAGCGCTGCCTCATTTTCCAGTTCCTTGTCTGTCCGCCTTGCGTCTTCCAGATGCGGCCCGGCAGGACCTTCAGCGCCCCCCTTTCAGGGGAGCTCCTCAGCTTTCATTTCTCTGAGCCGTTTGGCCCTAGGCTGGTCTGCACCCATCATGGCCCCTGCGATTATTTTGCAGAGCCTCGGTGGGTATGCTCCCAATGCCTTGGACGCCCTTTCTTTGTTGCCCCCCTCGTTGGTGCGCCACCTCTGCACAAGGCTTTCGTGCTTGGCCTTGTACTCTGAGCCGTCAGGCTTGGTCCAGGTGCGGTTTTGATGTGTGCACCTGATGCCTCTCAACTCGGTGAGGTCCATGTCGAAGTGTGCCAGCTTGGTCGGTTTGGTGACCTCTGCATCGAACATACATTGGTCGAAGGCCGCCTTGAGCACCAGTGCGTGCTTCTCGATGCCGATGCCCCACTTCGTTTTCCAGAAGTCAAGCTTGGATCCATGGTCAGGATTCTCCAGCCAGAACGACCGATGAGCCCTGAGCTGATACTTGACCGCCTCCGCAGACAGCTCGAACATCTGATTTGCTTGAGCGAGCTGCTGTTGCTCGGCCTTTGAGAGCTTCTTACGGCCGAGACCCTCAGGATGAGCCAGGTCCCTCAATGGCTTGGGGCCTGGGGGATTCTCCCTGAGGGGTGACAGCGTCTCGCAAGGCGTGGCAATACCCACGCAGTCGAATACGCCATCCTGAACTTCCTTCAGAATGAGCCTGTAATTTTCGGAGTCCAGAACATCGCATGTAGTGGGGCCCACAATGTCGACGACCACCACTATCCATCCTCCTGCGGCAAGATAGCTAGCGATGTCGCCTTCCCTGGACTTGCCGCTGAACAGCAGCAGTGCCCTGGGCCTGTGGTCCCACTGCTCTGGCGGGACGTTTGTCGCCCCGTACCGGTACGGGTGCCAGCTTGGCGGCTTAGGCAGCTGGCTTGGCCCCTGCTGATGCGGTGCGGCCTGCACTGGCCTTCGCTTTCTTTGCAGTGGTGACCTGGACGGTCTCTGGTTTCTTGGAACCAGCTTCACCCCTGAAGAGGATGCCGCAGCCCTCTCCTCGGGGCTTTCTTCTTTGCGCCCTTTCTTTTCGGGCGGTGCGCTGGGATCCGACTCAGGCTGTTTCTTGCGCTTGGAGCGCTTTGCACCTGATGCAGTGTCACCGGCAAGGGTAGGAGGTGCTGCCTCACCCTCGCCTGTTTGGCGCTGTCAGTCTTTCTTGCATTGGCTTGCCTGATGGGGACCCAGGCAAAGGTTGCATTGGTGACTGCGCCCGTTGGGGCATCTTGACTGTGGCTTGCCATTGCCGCACTGCCCCTTGTTGAACTTGATGCAAATCTGAAGGCCCTTGCGGTTGAGGGAGAAGACCTTGTTGTTGTCGTCCCACTTGCTCTTGTCTTCCCCCGTGTACTTCTTCTTTGCCTTCTTCTTCTTGAGCTTCGGGCTCGAGGACTTCTTCCTCTTTGGCGATGGCCGCTCTGGGGCCGACTCGATCGAGGAGTCCGAGCTCAGCCCACAGGCTATGGACTTGTTGCGGGCCAAGAGCAGTGTGCTTGGGGTCACCACTTCCCTTGTCCAGAAATCTTGCTCCCGGACCGCTTCCGCGAAGATGGCAGCCCAAGGGTTGGCGGGTGTATACCCATGCCGTGGGTCGTCGTCCAGCGCCCGCCGGATTCTCTCCATGTACTCGGACCGCATGCGGGTGTCTGCACGGTATATGATTCCCCAGCATGCTGGCCCGAAGCGGTTGTGGAACTCCTTGACGTGTTCCATGTAGGCCTCGAGCCTCTCGGGGTCCGCCGCTTCCAAGAGCACCATCGCCACCTTGTATGTTTTGAAACACTTTTCCCAGGCGACGATGCTCTCTGGGCCAGGGGCTTCTTTCTTGCTCCATTCCCCCGATGCCGCGTTCAACACGTAGCTCTTGAACACCGCTTTACGCAGCGTTCTAAGCCCGTGTGGACCCCACAGTGACATGTCCGCGTATGCCGTAGCGTTCGCCTTCAACAGTTGTGCCAAAGCCGACAATTGGTCGATGCTCGGCTCAACCTCCGGCGATGGGTGATCACCGAACCTGCTTTTGTACTTGGCGTACATTGCACTGACAGCGGTCTGTTCCAACTGGACCACCTCTGAGTCCAGAGTTGGGTCAATGACCACTGACAGTTTGATCTTCCTCGTTGGGGAACCTTGTGAACTGGACGGGGGCTGTGCCGGAGTTGTAGCAACCCCAGGGCGTTGTATACCCGGATCCCCGGGTGTGTCGGGCGTCATCTGCATCCGAAGCATCACCACCCGTCGAAAGATTTCCAGCCTCGAGCCCTCCACTGGTGTGGGCTCACGTTGACCTGGTGGGTCGCCTGGATTGGCTGGTGCTGTCGGCACCCTCAGGAGGACAAGTGCTGCGTCCCACACCGGGCGTGTGATGAATGCAATGTCCCTGAGTTTCGTCGGAGTGCCGAGATCTTTGAGGAGACCCTCTTTCAAAGGGCCCTCAAGACCGGCCCAGTCTGCCACGTCGTCAATGGTCTCCATGTTGTTGAGCTCCTCTTCGGTTGGGTCCATGTTGCAAGGCTGGACCCTCTCTCAAAGGAGTAAGTTCCGAACTTGTAGAGCTCCTTGGTGTTGCGGAACCAGCCAATGTGGCTCTCCTCCTCAGATTGGGTCGGCTCTGCACCGATTGGCGCAAGGAGCTTTCCCTGAGGTTCGAGAATGCCAAGCTGATCGCTCGTCGACGGCGCACAAAGCGCAAAGCCCGGGATGTAAGCACCTCCCAAGGGCCCACAACGCGAGAGGTTGCGGCTCGGGTGTTTCCGATCCCAAACCGGACCCAAAAGACACGGAGGAACCAGCCACACAGGACCCCCAGCCCGTAAGTGCTAACCAGCACCCACAGGAGGAGGTCCACACCCGGATCCTCGGTCGGTTGACCGAAGGGACCAGGTGCTGCGTCGCTGCCTTCCCCACCTAGCCCTGGGCCCATTGAAATGAAAACACCCCAGCCTTGAGCCAAAATGGCCACCAAGGCCGAGGTGAAGCTCCCACCCTCAACTCCCCTCTCACTCAATTGGTTGTTACAAACACAGCAAGCTCTTAAAACCAACAAACAAAGCGACACAGTCAAGAATCAGTGATCGGCTTTGCTGTGAACCAGGGTGATCTTCCCAAGGTTTCAGGCCAGGTGCAATGAAAGCGTGAGCAGCGGCGCAGTTCGTTGGCTCCAAAGCCAAGGGCTTCTCCACAAACCGGACAGCGGAGAGCACCAGACATCTGCTGCCGAAGGCCTTCCTCAGCAGAAAATTATAGAAAATTAATACACAACTCGGAAGAGACTGACAGCAAAGACATTCGGAGCACGACATTCGGAGGGCTCCATTCAGTGTGCCCTTTGGATTCCATCCACGGAATGACATCTAGAGATATTCCAAGAATGGCAGCGCTGAGTGCAGAGTGCTGAATACCAAGTTTCCAGGTACTCCAAAGACCGCTCCACCTCTGCGATTTTTTCTTGCACAAGCTTCCTTGGTACCATGCAGCACAGACACTCCCTCAACATCCCTCAACGTCAAAACGAAGAAGTTCACATAAGAGAAGAAAACCTGTAAAAGATAAAATGTGAAATGCCAAAAAAAACTTGAACAGCAGAGCTTCGCTATATATGGAAAATTACAATCAATAACCACAAGATACCACAAGTACAAGTCAAGCGATTTTTTCAGGTCAAAGCCATTCCGATCTGCGTGGTGCAATCATTGAGTTCAGGATCTGCATGGGTTTGGTGGTTGACCAGCCATGCGCTGCAACGCCCACGGCAATGCCAGCACCGAGGCCACCCAGGACTCGACCAGCCAATGCGACGCTTTCGAGACCTGCCTGGTGGAACTGCGTGAGATCCCAACACTGTGACCAGAAGTACACGCTGGATAACAACAGTTTCATGATGACAATATGTCCCACCAGTCCTAGCATTCTCTCCAGTCTTCTTCCCTTTCTGGTTTTATGGGGAAAAAAGTGCTTCCGGGGCTCTCAACAGGAGAAGGCTTCGGTCAATCAATTGCATGGGCTGTCCACGAATCAACTTGTCAAGGCAGCCTGGCTGAGGGTGATGTACTTGGCCGAGCGCAGCAAGACTAGGTTCCTGAGAGACCAGCGATCTAAGTGCCCTTCATTTTTTTTCAAATCAGCAAAGTAAAGATGAAAGTGAATTTGGATACACTCCGACCTAAGACTTAGCTAAGAATTCTGAAGACTCTAAGTACGTCATATGACGTAAAGCCGTTGCAACATGGTGCAGCTGTGGTGCGCTGTCTGTGCAGCCGCCATGGCAGTGCCCGCAGCTCGACTGCCACAGCTGATCCGCTGCCGCGCTGCAGCTTTGGCGAGGGCAAAGCGGAGCTCGGACTCAACGGTTTCAAAGGCCAACCTCAGCACTGCCAAGCACTGCCAAAGGGCTGCCAGCTGCCAAATCACTGCCCATCAAAAGTTGCTGCGGAAGTGAAATTCATGCCATAGACTGTAGGTGCGTTATTCTCATGGCTTGAAATGTGGGGACACTGGCTGCCACGAATATTTGTGAGAAAAATTGACAAAACGAAAATATTGTCCCAGGGTCTGCTCGGTGACGTCCACTTCCATCAGCTTCGACAGGTTGCGGCCCTTGTCCTCGCATTCCATCTTTCTCACCAAGAATTTAAACATAATTTTCCCACAGGCGACTCCTTCTTAGACCTCATCAGCATGTTCCCCTTGCTTAATGTAAGAAAATCGTAACAAAATCTTCCAGCTTGAACGGCTTGAACCGAGGCTGCCAAAGCTCTGCATCGGCCACAGCGTCACCAGTGGTACTGCTGACCCCAGCTGCAGCACTTGTGGCACCAAGCGCGAGGCCCACAGGCGGCGCTACAAACAGCGATCCGAAGGAAGCGACCTGAAAAGAACAGCACTTGGAACATCCGAAACTCATCGAGACCGTGGCATCGGAGGCAGAGGTGACGGAGGTGACTGTGATAAATGATTTTGGGACGTTTCTTTGGGAGAATGCCCTCGAGGATGTGGTACAACAATTCATAAACGCTGTCTGCACAATGATCTTTGAAGTACTAGTGTGATGTTTCAATTTGACTGTCCAGACTGTGCAAATTAAGACAACTGTATATGCAACGAAAATCTGCCTGCACACGGAAATAGGCATCACCTGCATCCCCCCAAAGAAACAAGCCTATCTTGTGGTGCGGCCACTTCCGAGATTGTGGTTGGGAAATGGTGGTAATCCTTCCCAGCCAAGGTGCCGCCAAACCAGCAGCCACGGTGTTCCCAGAATTCACCTCAGCATTTGCGAAAGCATGAGAAAACTCCATTTTCGTTGCTGCAAATGCCTAGGCACTCTGTGCATTCAATTTGCAAGCAAGAAACTCGGAACCACCTTGGAACGCAGCTTTTACAATTGTCAATTGGCACCGAAAAAGCCAGGGGATTCTGCAAATTCCATCAAATTCATTCAAATTCCCAAAGTACTTTGTACATCTTTGTACTAAACTCAACCCATCTGGAGACTTTCGTAGCTGAGGCTTAAACTGCTTGGTGAGCTGGTTGTCCAGCTCTTCCAGAGTCCTCAAAGCGATGGAAGATGCACACTGAGAAATCATGATACAATCATGATCTCAGGTGGTCAAAAACTGTTTGTGGGTTGAAGCAATGGCGTCTGTTTATTGGGTTGTGCAATATGTCTCCGAACTTGTCTGGCCTCAAGCTGCGTCGCCGCACTGCCAGCAGGACTTCTGCCGCTGCCACCAACCTCCCACGGTCATGCTCTACTCAGTAAAGAACTGCTAATCCGTACAAAATGATTTAGATTTAACATGATTTAACAGACTTGGATTCCAATAATCAATAATCAACTATAATCAACACATGTTTGGAAAAGGCAATCCAAAAGCGTCAATGTGGATTCCGGCTGAACGAATCATGAAGTGCTTGTGCACCTGGACATAGCTCCGGTGACACGTGCTGTGTACTCTTGGCCTTTGGGGGAAGCCTAGAAGGCACTGGAACGAACAGACACTGCAAGGCACTGCAAGGATCTGCAAGGATAACAGGTTATGATAACAGCTTTATGTTGTTTTTCAGTTTTGTGCACGATATCCAGCGGATTGCTTCAATCGGGCCTCTTGGCTACCTGACCACGGGGCTACAGCATCCGCCGCCTACGCTCTAGCGTGCTGAAACTCTGGAAATGACGACTTCTCAACATGTTTCTCAAAATATGAAACACCCGAAAGAGCTTGATTACACACATGTCCTGGACCACCTGTCTTGGGGAACCTTCATTGGAGTTGATGTATTCACCATCAACGATTGGCTGCCCGAATGGACGCTAGGTTGCACTATCAAAAACGCATTTGAAACGGACCTGGATGATCCTGGTTGACCCTAGGTATCCGTTCAGGAACGTATTCTACCTGTGCACCCCCAAACATTCCTTGTGTGGATTCGCATTCTGCAAAAGGACTACAGAACAACGTCTTGGTAAGGATTTGCAAGGCCTGTAAGGTAGCGGGCAAAGGGGCAGCACGCTCTGCGGGAAAGTCTGGCCAATGCTCCTTGCGCGGAACAGCTGAGTTCCACGTTCCACCTTTTCACTTTTTTGAGACCGGGGAGTCGCAGAAAAACGCACCTTCCAACATGGTGGACATTGACAACTCAAACTATTCTTGGCCAAGCAGTGATAAACAGAAAGATGGCAACAAAGCGCTCCCACGAGTCTGGAACCCCACGATTGCAAGCGTTCCAAGCCTGCCAAACCTGTTGTGCAAAATGTGTGATTCTTCAAGGTCACGCATGCACATTCTATTCACTAATCTACTCAGAACTGTCGCGACAAAAAAAAACAAATGAAGCCAGAATTAATGTGTATCCGATTGTTTGCGTTTCAGTTTTTGGAACATCTCCATCTTCCCAGCTGTGCAACGAGCAGCTGCTAAATGCCAAGGCACATGGCAGTGAGTTATAGGTCCCCGCAGCTCAAACCAAGCGTCAACACCTTTCGTTTGATCCTGGGAGCGACAAAGCAATCACTTGCAGAACAGCTCCTTGCCGCCTGCATCTCGAGCATCGACATCGATTCATGATGATTCACGACTAATCAGACCAGCATCTCCCTCTGGACACCGCAAGCGTATGACCTGGCCAAAGCAGGGCTGTGTAGGTATCTAAACATATCATTTCCACAACTTGTAGGACTCTGATAGTATGGCACTGTGGCACTCCCTTGACAAGTCGCACCGTCGCACCTCCTCCCCCAATTTTGTCCAGGCACAACGATTCTTTCGATCTACAGCTTGGACCTGCGATCACATGCGGTCATTTCTTCAGCCTGACTCTTGTTGGATGATGTTGGACGGACTTTGTTCGGATTTTACCAGATGGACTTTGTATGACTTTGTCCTGGACTTTATCGAAGGTTCTTCCATCAAGCATTGAGATGTATTTGGCACCTTGCGGCCTCCTGGCTGTACTCGAAACCGCACCTGAAGGCACACTGAGAGAATTTGAATCCGGACAATTTAGCTCCGCAACCTCTTTCTTGTAGCCTGATGCTATTTGACGATCTTTATTGATCTTGGATGCTTTAGGCCTAGCAAAAAATGGCATCAGTGCGAAGGGAATGATTTGATCTGACCTCTTGGGCTCTTGGACTCTTGGGCAGTCGCAGTTTGGGCACCTCGATGTTTTTGCTCTCGGCAGGCAGAATTTTGGTGGCACCACAGCGACCGCACAAGGCATCCTCCCAGGAGTTCCAACTTTGCTCCTGACACGTGGTGCAGCTGTTTGTGTCAGCACTGGTGCACAGAAACCAAAGAAGTCCAGCGTCAACTGCTTATGACATTCACAGACTTATCATTGACAAGCTAGATACTGGAAGTGTATGATAGTGTATTTGATCTTAGCAGGCATGTCACAATGTCCTCATTCTCCTCATCGATCCAGGTAACTTTCATGGATATCCTGGGGCTGGGGGAATGAAACAATTCGTCTGAGCACAAACAATCCCCACAAAGCCGTGATTCACGATGAAAAACGCAAAGTCTTTAAGAGAGGGAGAGAGAGAGAGAGAGGCAGACAGTATACTAGGGCCAAATTTGTTCCCAAAGAGAGAGTCTTTTTCTGTTTTGCATCCCAAAGTCATCGAAGTCCACAACAGTAACAAGATTCTGTGAGAGTTTGTCGTAGCTTTTCATCACCAAACGCAACGGCGGTGGTGTTGACTGGATTGTTGCCGCGGTCGCCATGGCTAAAGCTGGTCATATGGAGTGGGTGAGAGAGGAAGACAACTAACAAACGAAAAACAACTTTTGACCTGTCACTGTTGACTCCGTTGCCTCCACATCTTGTTTTTGATGGATTCTATTTATCTGTCTGTCTGTCTGTCTGTCTATCTGTCAATCTATATAATCTAATCTGCTCTAATCTAATCTAATCTAATCTATCTATATTATATAATATAACATAATATAATAACATAATATAGTATAATATAATATTATATTATATTATATTAAATTAAATTATATTATATTAAATTATATTATATTATATATATACACCCAAATAAACTTATTGTCTCCCTGAAAACAAGACTGACAGAAGCCAATATGACTTTGGCATACTTTGGCTAAGGAGAGACATTCGCTCCTTGAACCCCACAGTCCAATCAGCGGGTATGCACCACAGAACGCCAACTACGCAGCTACGGCAGGCTTTGCCACTTCACTGTATGCTGGCAGGAACACAAACTGAGAGACAATCATGGTGAGGCGATCCATCAGATTTTGCACATGCAAAAATCGGTGGAACCCTGATACCTTCAACTTCTTGACATTGCTGGTGTCACAAGGATACTTTATGATACTTTGATTTGGAACCTGCCACTAGTGTGATTACGCAACAACGCACAAGGCACCGGACATTGATGAAAATGCCTTTGAGCCCGCTTTCTCCAGGTTCAGGGGCACAATTGCCCATACGTGCCTGAATACCGTGAGAAAGAACTCCACGGTGCGACGATGAGGTCATGCATCCCTGAACTCCCGTGAAATTCGTGATGTCTTCAAATGATTCAAATGTCTTCGATTCATTTCGATTCGAGGTTTCAAACAATTCCTTCAAAGGCCCAGGGCACTAAGATCTCCGTCTCAGTCAGCTGAGGAGGCTCTGGTGGTTGTTCTGGCATTCGAGGCCAAATGCAATATTCTGCAAGCACAAGCAGAAAGTGATGAAATCAGATGATGTACGTTGGATGCTGTTGGAAGCTGATTCGAAACTGATGTTCTGTAGTTGGACTCTGCAACTTTGCATTCGCACCTTCTTCAGCCACCGCTTCAGCTGCTGCTTCCTCCCCACCATCCTGTGGAGTACGACATGATCCCTCTCGAAGCAAATCCTACCAAACTCCAATCACTTTCCATGTTACATCAACCAAAAGACCGCAGCAAGAATGGGAACCCATTTGTCCATCCTATCAAACGTGCACATCTGAATCTGAATGCATCCATCCAATCCGTTCGAAGTCAATCTAACTTGCCGACCCTTCCTTGCTCGACCACTTGAGTTAGCTGCATTGTGGTATATCATCTATTGTTTGCAATAATGTCAGCTGTCGTCTGCAAAAGGGTTGCCTCCCCAGGAGGAGCTTCAGCATCAGCCGCCTGCGTTGATGCCCAAAACTGCACTGAGGTGAAAATTCAGCTTCACAGCTGAACAATCTGACAATGCAGCCTCGCCAGCGGCGAGCTCCTCTTCGGTCCTTGGCACCGCAGAAGCTTAAACCAAGCGAGAAAGGAAGCAAGATAGAAATTGTATATGCAGAGAATTGCAGAGATACATAGACATAGAAATACATACAGTAGAGACCGTATATACACGCACACCACTGATTTTGAGAAAGAGATGAGATATATAATAATAATAATATAAATATATAGATAAGATTAGATCCTTCACGACGGTCGATTCTATCCCTGGCAGAATCCAAACCCATACGGGAATATACAGGAAAGATTGCAACCCGAACGCCTCGATATTTCTGACTGAAAATCATAATGCTCCTGGATCCCTGCCAAACTGCCTGCCAATCGGAGCGCCCTTTGTGCTAGGCTCTCGAACGGCTCCTGGGGAATATCAACCGTCTCCCCTTCCGCCATCCTGACACCTTTGAGCCCAAAGAATCCGCAGTGCACCTTTTGACGGCTACCTTCACATCATGGAACCAAGAATCGCAAAGAGAGATTCTGGAGTTAACTAATCGCAGAAACCCTTCAAAACCTCCATGCCACTGGAAATTTGATTTGAACAACCCAAATCAAGCCCGTGCTACTAGATGTTTGAAGAACAAAAAACGAAAACACCTGGTGATTCTCATAGTTGCAGGATTTGAACCTTACACCAGTTACTCCCAGGCTGAGACTATCCAGCTTTGGAGCTACTGTGCTGACCTACTGCACACATCAACTCCGCGAAGTTGGGAAATGTACAGTGACTAGATTGATGCTTCGAACTTCGGTAGAAAAAAGGTTCCCACCATTTTCTGGATGGGCAAACTGCAGAACGTCAGCAAACCCTGTGAGTCCTGCCAAGCCTTGCAAAAGACCACTAGGTCACTAGGAAATTTGTGCGGCTCGCCAGACACAATTTATGTACGAAATGATCGAAATGATTATCAATGATTATCAACATTCATAGTCATTATATGATATTATAAAATATTATAAATTATATGTCATTATGGCATTAACCAGTGAATCACTGCAGAGTTTTGGCAAAGGTTTGGCAACGCAAAGCTTATCGCAGGGCCAGGTCCTGGGCGGAGCTCCATTGACGCCACGGCTCTGGGCCATGGCTATACCGGCCCAAGTTGCAATGAAGAAGATAGGAAGGGATGTGAAACTCGATACTCAAAACATCTCAAAACCAACATCATTCTAATCTTCATTAATATTCTATCGATTTCTATAGTGTTTTCGGGATGTTTCATTGTTCTATTTGTCAGTCTTGGGAAAGTCAAAGCCAACTTGGTCCAGAAACATATCAAAAATTGATTGATGCTCCACAGCACTCTAGAACTTATTTCAAAAAGTTCCAGAGCAGAATGAGCATGTTGTTCGGAGATCGCCCTCCAAACACAAACAGTTTCCATTGTATTTTTCACTTGCACGCCTGCTTTCTGTAAGCTGCTACAAAATGCTAAGATTAATCTATCTCGAGTCTTCTTGGTTTGCTGGAAGCAGGGATGGTGCAGAAAGGCCATTGGTTGGCCAAGATAAAATCACCGAATTCGATTGAACAAAAAATTCTCAGGATTGTTGCGAGACCGTGGAGTGCCGCCCACTTTGTGAAGCTGCACTTTGACCAGCTTGGCCAAAGTCCGCAAATTTGTGCTGCCAGTTGTGTAGATGTAGTCACAAACAATCGAACCGAATATAAGGCTTGGCCAAATTCAGCAGCTCGCAAAAGCATGACGCTTTCCGTTGAACAAACTGTGCACTCTGTTGGATTCCTGTGGTGAGCTGCTGCTCCCAACCTGCAGTTTCTGAAAGCACTTGATTGTTGCAGGATGTTGAAGGTGTCTACAGCTATAGAAAGAGCTCTGAAGAAAGTTCAGTGCAAATCTGAAGTATTATTGGCAACAAATTGAAGTTCTCGGTCACAGTTTTTAAATGGCATTGTGTTCCTTCCATGTCTTTCAAAGTCTCCCTGCAATTTGGCCTGCAACTCCAACAGCATAGCATCTCCGTCGAAGTTGAAGTGAACAGGGATGCCCACCTCCATCAAGACCTGGAATGAATTGAATGAACAGGATTGTTTCAAGATGTTTCAAGCTATGTCATGTCGATCATGCCATGGCCAAAATATTCTCATAGCTTCACAATTTTCCAAAAAGAACTGCGCCTCATTCGTCGGTGATGCAAGCTGTTGTAACATGTTGTAACAATGAAGCTTGGTAAGCTTCGCACGGCTCCCGTCAACGTCAACCGCCTGCGATGCTTGAATTGCGGACCACCTGGCTGAAATACACCTCACAGCGAAAACGGCAGCGCCATGGACCAGCTGACAACAATTGGCCGATGCTGTTCTATTGCATGCTGCAAAGTAACTGCTAAGTATTGCAAATGACCACAGTTGTACCCCATAGACTGAAAAACAACACATGTGCGTTTATCACAAACAATAAAAAAAATGGGGGAAGCCGGTCCACTTGGAGGACAAGGGGCCGTTGAAGACACCTTCCTCAACCATCGTGGGAACCTTAATCTGGACTCCAGGAGCAGTCGGGTTTCGCATTTGCAGTGGATTACCCTTTGCGCAGCAAATGTAGCAAAGCAAGTCAAACATCTTTGAAACATCTTTGCTGTGCGAGTCAGTTTGAAGACCTGCTCATTCCTCTTCCACTTGAAACAATCCCAGCACTGGCACGGCTCATACAGGGAAGGCACGTGCTCTGTGAGCACATAGTGGTACTCTGGCCTGCAAGGGGATTCTTTGACAGCCATTGTTAGGGCAACAGCGGCAACAACCATCAATGATGCCTTTCGTCGTCTTTGGGATCCATGTCCAGCCTCAAGCCTCTCAACTTCAAGCGGGAAGGGAATTTTCCAACCTGAAAAACTGAAGTTGAGAATCTGTAAGAAATTTTCCACTGCCATAGACTGCCTGAGTGCTTCATCACTTTCTGCTGTTTGTGTTCAAAGGTCTCGGCAGTATCTCTGTGAAAGACAATGGCACTGACCACGGCTCTGTCCTGTTCAGGAGTGACCTGGCAGGCTCCAAGCGTCAAACAAATGGCCAGTTGCTGAAGGTGCAATGGGCATGACTAGACCTTTTGAGAGTATTTGCACGTGTCGGTTTACAAACGATGCGGACAAGGCTCTTCCCCGCTTGTGAAGGCACAAGAAGCGTCTACATTCACAACACAGTGATTCTGGAACTATGTTGAGAGTCCAAAACAGATCAAATTGCAAAACTTCTTTCTGCGTGAATGCGAGTGCAAAACCTCCGAGTGATGAACATATTATGAGTAGCTACCTGATAGCTTTAAAGTCCTGGATTCAAGTCGTCAAGTATTCTGGAAGTTTGTTGGAAGCTCATGCAGCACCAAATCCAAGACGGTGACGGGCCACGATGGGCTATAAACAAACGCGTGCAATGAGTGCACTTCAATCATCATAGAGGATGTAACGGAATTGAAAAAGGTTATGTCTAAATGTGAGACTAACAGTCAGTCAAAACTTTAAGCACAGCGACGACGAAACCAAAGAGCTCAAACAAAGCATACAAATGTCAAAGCATGTCGGTTGGGCAAACATCCAGGCATACACGTGGGAGTCACCAATGCCGGCTGAATTGGAATGCGAAGCACCAGGATATCCGAAGCCTATTCCACCAAGCATTGACTCTTCTAGTGAAAAGCGATCTTGCTAGATATCATTGTCAGTCTCATGCACATTCTTTATTCATCCTTCTTATTTTTCTTCTTCTTCTTCTTCTTGTACTTCCCCCTTCTTATTGTTTCTTGGGGTACCAGGCTAACCCTCATTCAAAATGCAACACAAATCAGACAGCAAACTATTCTGACTTTCTGACTATGACGACTGCATCACTTGGACAGTGCCCAAAACCGAAATGCCTGGCAAGCGGAAGTACTCTCCATGCAGCACCACCTGTGCGTTGCTGGGCAGTTCATTCAATCATTCGGATTCATTTGCTATCTATCCCTTGTTGCAAACATGGACTTGATAGATGGTGATCCAATTCTCCAACGAAAGATTGAAGACTCCGACAGTCTGCACAAACTTCACGGCGCACAAAGTAACCACCGAGGGATGGAGTGACCGAGTGACCCGAGTGACCTTGGAAAGCTTTTGCCGCAAGGACACCAGGTCCTTCATCTCCCTGAGCTCCTGCGCTGACTTTCCACGCTGTGACCCACACATTGCCACATATTCCCGCACCTGTTTCGACAGCTTGTTGAGATCGAGCTCCAAGCCTGCAAGAGTTGCGACCATATTTGGTTCCAAAGTGTTCTCCAAACCAAAATTGTTTCACCAATCCGCCCAACGGGATGTCGGGGCTGAGCTCTGGACCAAAAGTGCCCCACAATGCAACGATGAAGCGAGTCCTAAATATTTTGACTTTGAACATTTCAGCCGTGGATTTGGAAGGACGCTGAGGTTGGGACTTCAGCATATGCCTAGGTCCATGCAGCAAAATTCAATTTTTTTCATCATCTAGTGAAGTTTTTTCAGCAAAAATCACCATGTGAAGATTCCCCATCATTCAGATCAAATCGTTGCCACAGGATGCCCTGTCCCGCGCAAACCAATTGCAGCTGAGTGGCGTCCTGTGGGTTTGATGGCTCGGACCTCCGAGAAACCCATTGTGTTGAAGTGTTGAGTGGAAAAAAAGAAAACTGGATAGAATATGACTGAACTAGAAGATTATTGTCAGGGGGTTTGAAGGACACTGCTTCAAAATGTACTAGACATTTCGATTCCAGCCGAATGCTATGTAATTCTATGTACAACTCAGCTTCTGAGTGTTGGGCATGCTGCAATGTGGGCACCCATACATCGCACTGGGGCCTGAGCGCTGCGTGTCACACGAGGCTTCAAACTGGTCTCGCAGCTAGGCATCCCGACCCACATTGAAGTGCCCATCTGAATGCGTGTTCGTGAAAAGGCATCCGAATTGTCCGAGCACCAAGCCTGCGAACACAAACAGGAGAGGAAAGGTGGCGGCAGACATCGTCTCTGACAAAGACATGCGACTTCGCTATCTGAGATATAGATTGATATAGAGTCATCAGTGGTCATCTATCTACATATAGAGCCTGCAAATATCCGTAAATATCAACAGTTTACCATTGTGCACCTGTGGACACCAGGCCAAAAGCGCAGCATCAAATCGTCCACCTCCTGACCTTTCAGAAAGGCCAACAGCTGAGTGGAGAAATATGACAATAAGTGATTCAAAGTGCCAAATAGATTTAAATAGTCAAATGTATCATGCTGAACTTAGTTCGACTTCCATCTAAAATCTGTTGAGCTCGTCCATATTCTCACTGAGGTCGCAAACGCACAGCTCTCGAAGAGGACGTGGGGGAAGCTCGAAGTGATCACCTGCCATGATCGGTCACAACAAGGCAGTGCCCAGTGCCTCTGTCACAATTCATCCTTGCCTCGAAGGTCCGATAAAGGCCCAAAACATAGCGATGGTAGACCTGCATTGGGCAGTACCAAATAAAATTTGGACCCTGCCTTCTGGTGTGGGCATGTGGGTGTCACACTGGAATATGTTTTTAATTATTCCAGTGTCTATGACCTACACTGGAGCCATTATTATTCTGAGGTGATCCACATCCAGAATAAGTTGTTTTGTTTTAATGCACATTTCATCTTCAGATTTGTTCAAGTACCATCCAAAAACTATCTAAACATCGAAATCTTTTGTGATCAATTGGAATGCAAAATGTTTGTCGCTGTCTCAGGCTCCGTTTCGCGAAAAACATCTGAACGGGTTCCAGAAATTGTATCTAATTAATAAATACACGTGCCTGTATATTCATGTTTATGTATCATGTTTATCCGCCGACCCCAGCCATCTGCAGGGGGAGCGCGCCCGAGGAAAAGTGGCGTTAAGCACGAAGCAACGTTAGGCAGCCGCTTGGCTTGACACTGGCCCAGAACTTTTCTAGTGGCTTCAGAAAGCGACGTTAGGCAGTAGCCTGCCTTCAAACGCTCCGCCGCGCCCTTGCCGGCGCTTTTGGCAACTTTCCGGACGTCTGTGACCATCTGTCGGGGGCTTGTCAAATTTTCTAGTGGCTTCAGAAAGCGACGTTAGGCAGTAGCCTGGCTTCAAACGTTAGGCAGCCGCTTGGCTTGACACTGGCCCAGAACTTTTCTAGTGGCTTCAGAAAGCGACGTTAGGCAGTAGCCTGCCTTCAAACGCTCCGCCGCGCCCTTGCCGGCGCTTTTGGCAACTTTCCGGACGTCTGTGGCCATCTGTCGGGGGCTTGTCAAATTTTCTAATGGCTTCAGAAAGCGACGTTAGGCAGTAGCCTGGCTTCAAACCCTCCGCAGCGCCTTTGGGGGCTTGTCCACTAGTTTTCTAGTGGCTTCAGAAAGCGACGTTAGGCAGTAGCCTGGCTTCAAACCCTCCGCAGCGCCTTTGGGGGCTTGTCCACTAGTTTTCTAGTGGCTTCAGAAAGCGACGTTAGGCAGTAGCCTGCCTTCAAACGCTCCGCAGCGCCTTTGCCGGCGCTTTTGGCAACTTTCTGCACGTCTGTGGCCATCTGTCGGGGGCTTGTCCAATAGTTTTCTAGTGGCTTCAGAAAGCGACGTTAGGCAGTGGCCTGGCTTCAAACCCTCCGCAGCGCCTTTGGGGGCTTGTCCACTAGTTTTCTAGTGGCTTCAGAAAGTGACGTTAGGCAGTAGCCTGCCTTCAAACGCTCCGCAGCGCCCTTGCCGGCGCTTTTGGCAACTTTCCGGACGTCTGTGGCCATCTGTCGGAGGCTTGTCCTGTAGTTTTCTAGTGGCTTCAGAAAGCGACGTTAGGCAGTAGCGTGGCTTCAAACCCTCCGCAGCGCCTTTGGGGGCTTGTCCACTGGTTGTCTAGTGGCTTCAGAAAGCGACGTTAGGCAGTAGCCTGCCTTCAAACGCTCCGCAGCGCCTTTGGGGGCTTGTCCACTAGTTTTCTAGTGGCTTCAGAAAGCGACGTTAGGCAGTAGCCTGCCTTCAAACCCTCCGCAGCGCCTTTGGGGGCTCGTCCAGTCGTTTTCTAGTGGCTTCAGAAAGCGACGTTAAGCAGTTCCCTGGCCCTTGCCGCGCTTTTGCAATTTTCCGGACGTCTGTGGCCATCTGTCGGGGGCATGTCCAGTAGTTTTCTATAGTGGCTTCAGAAAGCGACGTTAGGCAGTAGCCTGGCTTCAAACCCTCCGCAGCGCCTTTGGGGGCTTGTCCACTAGTTTTCTAGTGGCTTCAGAAAGCGACGTTAGGCAGTAGCCTGGCTTCAAACCCTCCGCAGCGCTTTTGGGGGCTTGTCCACTAGTTTTCGAGTGGCTTCAGAAAGCGACGTTAGGCAGTAGCCTGCCTTCAAACGCTCCGCAGCGCCCTTGCCGCGCTTTTGCAACTTTCCGGACGTCTGTGGCCATCTGTCGGGGGCATGTCCAGTAGTTTTCTAGTGGCTTCAGAGAGCGACGTTAGGCAGTAGCCTGGCTTCAAACCCTCCGCAGTGCCTTTGGGGGCTTGTCCACTAGTTTTCTAGTGGCTTCAGAAAGCGACGTTAGGCAGTAGCCTGGCTTCAAACCCTCCGCAGCGCCTTTGGGGGCTTGTCCACTAGTTTTCTAGTGGCTTCAGAAAGCGACGTTAGGCAGTAGCCTGCCTTCAAACGCTCCGTAGCGCCTTTGCCGGCGCTTTTGGCAACTTTCCGGACGTCTGTGGCCATCTGTCGGGGGCATGTCCAATAGTTTTCTAGTGGCTTCAGAAAGCGACGTTAGGCAGTAGCCTGGCTTCAAACCCTCCGCAACGCCTTTGGGGGCTTGTCCACTAGTTTTCTAGTGGCTTCAGAAAGTGACGTTAGGCAGTAGCCTGCCTTCAAACGCTCCGCAGCGCCCTTGCCGGCGCTTTTGGCAACTTTCCGGGCGTCTGTGGCCATCTGTCGGAGGCTTGTCCTGTAGTTTTCCAGTACGTGGCTTCAGAAAGCGACGTTAGGCAGTAGCCTGGCTTCAAACCCTCCGCAGCGCCTTTGGGGGCTTGTCCACTGGTTGTCTAGTGGCTTCAGAAAGCGACGTTAGGCAGTAGCCTGCCTTCAAACGCTCCGCAGCGCCTTTGGGGGCTTGTCCACTAGTTTTTTAGTGGCTTCAGAAAGCGACGTTAGGCAGTAGCCTGCCTTCAAACCCTCCGCAGCGCCTTTGGGGGCTCGTCCAGTCGTTTTCTAGTGAATTCAGAAAGCGACGTTAATCAGTTCCCTGGCTTCAAACCCTCCGCAGCGCCTTTGGGGGCTTGTCCACTAGTTTTCTAGTGGCTTCAGAAAGCGACGTTAGGCAGTAGCCTGCCTTCAAACGCTCCGCCGCGCCCTTGCCGGCGCTTTTGGCAACTTTCCGGACGTCTGTGGCCATCTGTCGGGGGCTTGTCCAATAGTTTTCTAGTGGCTTCCGACGTTAGGCAGTAGCCTGGCTTCAAACCCTCCGCAGCGCCTTTGGGGGCTTGTCCACTAGTTTTCTAGTGGCTTCAGAAAGCGACGTTAGGCAGTAGCGTGCCTTCAAACGCTCCGCAGCGCCCTTGCCGGTGCTTTTGGCAACTTTCCGGACGTCTGTGGCCATCTGTCGGGGGCTTGTCCAGTAGTTTTCTAGTGGCTTCAGAAAGCGACGTTAGGCAGTAGCCTGGCTTCAAACCCTCCGCAGCGCCTTTGGGGGCTTGTCCACTAGTTTTCTAGTGGCTTCAGAAAGCGACGTTAGGCAGTAGCCTGGCTTCAAACCCTCCGCAGCGCCTTTGGGGGCTTGTCCGCTAGTTTTCTAGTGGCTTCAGACAGCGACGTTAGGCAGTAGCCTGCGCCCTTGCCGCACTTTTGCAACTTTCCGGACGTCTGTGGCCATCTGTCGGGGGCATGTCCAGTAGTTTTCTAGTGGCTTCAGAGAGCGACGTTAGGCAGTAGCCTGGCTTCAAACCCTCCGCAGTGCCTTTGGGGGCTTGTCCACTAGTTTTCTAGTGGCTTCAGAAAGCGACGTTAGGCAGTAGCCTGGCTTCAAACCCTCCGCAGCGCCTTTGGGGGCTTGTCCACTAGTTTTCTAGTGGCTTCAGAAAGCGACGTTAGGCAGTAGCCTGCCTTCAAACGCTCCGCAGCGCCCTTGCCGGCGCTTTTGGCAACTTTCCGGACGTCTGTGGCCATCTGTCGGGGGCATGTCCAGTAGTTTTCTAGTGGCTTCAGAGAGCGACGTTAGGCAGTAGCCTGGCTTCAAACCCTCCGCAGTGCCTTTGGGGGCTTGTCCACTAGTTTTCTAGTGGCTTCAGACAGCGACGTTCGGCAGTAGCCTGCCTTCAAACGCTCCGCAGCACCTTTGGGGGCTTGTCCACTAGTTGTCTAGTGGCTTCAGAAAGCGACGTTAGGCAGTAGCCTGGCTTCAAACCCTCCGCAGCGCCTTTGGGGGCTTGTCCACTAGTTCTCTAGTGGCTTCAGAAAGCGACGTTAAACCCTCCGCAGCGCCTTTGGGGGCTTGTCCACTAGTTTTCTAGTGGCTTCAGAAATCGACGTTAGGCAGTAGCCTGCCTTCAAACGCTCCGCAGCGCCCTTGCCGGCGCTTTTGGCAACTTTCCGCACGTCTGTGGCCATCTGTCGGTGGCTTGTCCTGTAGTTTGCTAGTGGCTTCAGAAAGCGACGTTAGGCAGTAGCCTGGCTTCAAACGCTCCGCAGCGCCTTTGGGGGCTTGTCCCCTAGTTTTCTTGTGGCTTCAGAAAGCGACGTTAGGCAGTAGCCTGCCTTCAAACGCTCCGCAGCGCTTTTGGCGGCGCTTTTGGCAACTTTCCGGACGTCTGTGGCCATCTGTCGGGGGCTTGTCCAGTAGTGTTAGGCAGTAGCCTGGCTTCAAACCCTCCGCAGCGCCTTTGGGGGCTTGTCCAATAGTTTTCTAGTGGCTTCAGAAAGCGACGTTAGGCAGCGCCTTTGGGGGCTTGTCCGCTAGTTTTCTAGTGGCTTCAGAAAGCGACGTTAGGCAGTAGCCTGCCTTCAAACGCTCCGCGGCGCCCTTGCCGGCACTTTTGGCAACTTTCCGGACGTCTGTGGCCATCTGTCGGGGGCTTGTCCACTAGTTTTCTAGTGGCTTCAGAAAGCGACGTTAGGCAGTAGCCTGGCTTCAAACCCTCCGCAGTGCCTTTGGGGGCTTGTCCACTAGTTTTCTAGTGGCTTCAGCTAGTGGCTTCACAAAGCGACGTTAGGCAGTAGCCTGCCTTCAAACGCTCCGCAGCACCCTTGCCGGCGCTCTTGGCAACTTTCTGGACGTCTGTGGCCATCTGTCGGGGGCTTGTCCAGTAGTTTTCTCGTGGCTTCAAAACGGGACGTTAGGCAGTAGCCTGGCTTCAACCCCTCCGCAGCGCCTTTGGGGGCTTGTCCACTATAGTTTTCTGGTGGCTTCA